ACAGCTGTTGGCTTCGGGACCGGAATCGATCCTACGAACTCCTGCATACCAGGTGAGGTAGTTAACATCTCATAGCCACCGTGATGATGATGAGAGAGAGAGAGAGACACGCAAACTCCAAATATACAGCTGTTGGCTTCGGGATCGGGATCGATCCTACGAACTCCTGCATACCAGGCGAGGCAGTTAACATCTCGCCACCTTGGCGCCCCATAGAACAAGCATCGCCAGGGTAGGGACCGTACCCACGACCTCCTGCATACAAGGCGAGAGGATTAATATCTTCGCCGTCGCCTTAGCGACCGGTACGGCGATTACCAGTCTGGGGAGAAGTGAACAAATGGCCGCCCTGCGGAAAGTCTGGCCCCTGCCACCGGAATGTGAATTTAAAGCACCAGCCTAGGCCACCAACGGAGATGATTGCTGCTCCCTTTTCTCAGTGAGCAGAGAGACACTCTGACTCGACTCACGCCGACCATGGACATTCTAGATCGAAAGCACTTAACGCCGACGCATATTGTTCAGTCACACTTGCCAGTGTTACACGTAACGAAAGAGACCCTAATGGTTTTCTGCCACGGCCTTTACTCATAGTCATTGCGTGGCTCTTAATTGGAGTCTCTCGTGAAACGATGATGAATGGTTCTTGCTTGAAACAGTGATGATTATTCGTCTCGCACATAGAAAGGGCAGGCTGATAAACAACTGACATTTCTGCGATTGAACACGTTTCTGTATATGCCACGTCTGCCTTAGGGATGGCACAGAGATCTTATACATGGGAACACCAACGTGTATATATTTGGTAAATGTGCATATGCGTAATTGAATATGGTAATTATATGTTTCGCCAATTAAATGAGCATAAACTTGTTATGCAAACGTATTAAAAGCACACATTCTTTATTCATATTCTGTGGGCTGACCTTCAGAACAATGTAATACACACTGTAGGCAGGGACGTATAGAATGCACTCTTTACGCATCAAGCGTTAGCCATTCAACATTCCAAACCGTGCCCTTTCGCATACATAATAATACGTTTAAATCAAATACTGCAGAGGCTTACACTTTCACTGAACGGTCAGGGAATCGAATGAGGCTATTTTTGCTCCGCATATATTTTTACTTTCTTTGCCTTGGCAAATATCCAACCGGTGGCGACGTGTCCTCGACTGCAACTCAATCGCATGGCGCTGAGGGGGTCAGAGTTCAAATGCCGGTCTGGGGTTTGGCCTCGGCGCATCGTCCCTCGAGGATCGATCAAATGTCGCGAGTTGTCCTGTGAATGGACTGCCGCCCTTGCCCATGGGAATGTGGAAATTTTATATCACGGCGAAGATAAACACTGGCTTACGCTGCTCGGTTGACGTATTGACTCATTGCCACGGGCTCGAGCAGACGTGCGGCGGACGTAGTAAAGGAAAGTCCTCGTGTTTTTGTTCGTTATTTAGCAATACAGTGACAGCCGATGTAAGGCTCCCCCATTTACGTCGTTTCGCAAATACGTCGTCACTTTACTATTAACACCGCTACCCAATGAGCGTCGCCTCAACCCACACACACTCACGTTGCTGACGGGCATCGTCGCCTCACAGCCTTCGCCTCCACCACCCACTGCCCTGTGAATCGCCTTCATTGACGTCGTTTCGATATTCGTCGGCGCACCTTTCAGGAACGCATCACCGACGTAAACCGGGGTGTTCCTGCACGTAATTGATTTCCACAGTTAGAGATCAGGCTGCAGCCATGAGATGTCTCGTTCGCGCCAATCCTCCCTGCACTAGTCGGGGGCTCTGGAGAGGTGTTTTTGGTCTCCTCTTCCACGCTGGTCCATGTCTTTTTTAATTGGAAGAGGTGGAAGTACCCGCACTGTACCTCGCCACACACGACCTGTGGTTGTATCACAAGGCTGTAGCCATGGAGTCAACATTGGGGGGGGGGGACCAAATCTTCCAGGGGGTCTGGGGGTCCCCCCCCCAGAAAAATTCTAAATTTGAAAAGGAATTTCCTGCCTAAATTATTAAAAAAAATCACGAACACATGGGATGGACTTTTCTTTTTTACAATAATGTCTATTAGTGTATTGTATTACATTTCTGTTTTTTTATTTTTTTAATCTTTTCTTGTTTCATTGTATGTAATGGCAGAGATTAGGGATTAATAAAGTACAACCATAACCGCAATCATATAAACAGACATCTATTTTATAGAAATGTATTGGGGGGGACATTTTGCGCATATTTCAATATTGTGTCCCCCCCAATATATTATAATTACGGCCTTGGTGTATCTATTTATACTACTGGGTGGGCAGAGGCGGTGGGTGGGGGGATTTATGAAATTTGCACCGTTGGTTCAGCTGCCACGCCGAGAGATCGAACTGGCGACCTTTAAATTGCTAGTCCAGCGTGTTAACCTTGACACCATGGCAACATCCCTTATTTTCCATGTAAAGTTGTACACATGACCCTGGCAAATATTGCCTTTCTCTTGAGAATACACCTTAACATGTAACGTTCACTTTACTACTGGCAGCAAACTTAGACAAAGCCCTTCAGAAATTTGCAGGAAAAGGTGGAATCTCATCCAATGAACCCTGGACGTCTCCCACCTCATTGGCACGCATGCTAGCCACTGGCTTGTACTTTCAGCCAAACCGCTCTGCTTCTCCGCTGTGCCTGATGCTAGAGAGGAGGGTGTCCCTACTGTATGTGGAGGCTTCCCAGGCTGGGGGGGGGGGGAGTCACTTTTCTCGTAGGACTCCACACTCGCTCCCACTGTGAATAATGACGACACTCTCTAATCGTGCCTACACCGTCGGTGGCATTTCAAGTGCGTCTTTATAAATTGCGTGCTCATGTGTCTCGTTAAATCACAGCACTGCCCTTTCAATTGACTTTGTTTTTAATTAATCATTGTAATCACCAGCACTGATTCGTCCACTGCTGGTTGAAGGTCTCAACAACAACAACAACAACCGTCGTTCACCACTAAGTGGTGGTGCCGTCACCAGAGCGCTTGCGCCAGGCTATGTCCACTTCGAGGTCACGTGAAGTGTGAAGTGTCGAACGCCCGCTGGCAGGAGGGTCACGGGACAGAACTATGTGCCATGGGTTGAAGGCCTCCGCCCAGCATTGCCATCCGAAGCGTGCTCGCGATGCCACACGGTACATCTCGCACACGAGCTGATCTGGTCAGGCTGCTATCGGCAATGGTCACCTTCTTGGGCAGGGGTTGGCAACCTACGGCTCTATGGCTTCCCCCCCTGCGGACAGCAGTTGCTATAATTATTTAAAAACTTAAATCTTAAACGTAATGTAACGAAAATATAATTTATTATTAATGGCAGGGGAATGGGTCACTATGGAATGTCTTGGTGACAACAAAATGTATTACAGTCAAATTATTATTGTTAACGATTAGCTAAGGGGGGGGGACTAAATAGACACAGTTGATTCCATAACCTATTTTGTTTATTTAAGTGAGACAAATACAAATAAAACGGCTCTTCTTTGAAAGGTTGCCAACTACTGCTCTTGGGCGCCTGCAATTCCATCACCAGTCTCGTCTATCGGCCGTCGTCTCATCTGGCGATGTGTCCTGCCAGAGCCAATTTACTTTCATGAATAGACATTACCGAAAGAACCAAAGAAGACATTAAGCGCTTTATCGCAAAAACCTCATTTCACACCGGGGCCAAACATTAATCAACGTCAGCATTTACACGGAACGGAGCATAACTTTGTGTAAGCAAGTTTCCGACGTCCAAACAGAGACGTAACAAAGACGTTGCAGTTTTTTGCAACAAAGTCATTAATTTTAAGAAGTAATTTTAATCATCAGCAAAATGCTACGGACGTTCAATTCAAAACATCCCAGAGCCTTGCTACATTTCTAACATGCTCCTTTTATTAAAGTAATAGTTCAAAGGGTATTTTGCAATTCCATAATGTTTTCTTCTTTAGCACGGGAATGTTGCCATGACATGTAGAGATATAACGCATCCCAAATGTACGTAATTACGGCTCTATGTTTAACTTTGTCTCATGAGATGTTTTGCATAGCGTTCATTACTTGTGATGTTTATACGTGATCTCTTGTTGCATGTCCACCCGCCTGGCGATGGTGTGGTTAGAGTTCTTCACTAAAAAGCAAAAGATTTTGAGTTCAAGTCCCGGTTGGGGGATGACTTCCAGGATCAATGAAGTGATCACTACTTTGTGCAAAATAAATCGAATCAAATCGTTAGTACATTTGGTATGCGCGTCATTTGTATAGTGCAAGGCTATCACAACGGCGCTATGTTTCAAAGTCGTTTACAGTCTGAGGTTGTTTCACAGTAGGGGGCGACGTTGCTATATGTGGTTTCACCAAATTAGGTAATCTGCAAGTTAAATTGTAAATTGGAGAAAATGTTGACCGTGTCACCGGCACATAATGGCCGATTCCTTTTCTAATAACATCGCGCAATCTTCGACATCGACGATGAAGCGGACAGCGAGTATTCGTGGTTAATACGCCTTCCATATTAACCGGGGCGGCCGTGGGTCACAAACTGCGAATCTCCACGAGACGCAGCAAACACGCCACTGCAGGGACACGACAAAGACAAACATCTCTCATATAGCCTTAACGGACCATTGGGGCAAGTGCTGTTAGCGAGCACTCATGAAGGCCGACATGGCACACGAGTGGGTGGGTGGCCAGTACCACGCCGAGCCGCCTTTGTCTCCCCAGTGGTGATGTTTATACACCACTGCAGGCACTCATTTTAGGCTCGGTCAACATTGGGTCATCCCAGGACCGTTTCAGATAATGATCGCTGATGTTGGCCGTGATAAGGAATCGAACTCTGGTTACCGGGTTCGTAACAGAGCGCGCTAACCGCTGCACTGCCGCTTCCCACGGCTTACACGGAGCTCCGCATACACACGCCACATGTCACGCGCAACGTGTTGACACGCAACGTGTTCCTGTGTGTGTGCGTGCGTCTGCAGAAACCTGGGGCGATCGGGTCTCCGTGTGTCCTGCCTCGGACTGGGTGAGTGACGAGTAGCATTTACATCTAAAGTCGGCGTGTATGATGTGCTTTGTGATATTTATGCTTGTGATTATGAGCGCTCGAACATAACATTGACCTTCCGAGGCTGCCAATGCCATAATTTGCTTGCGTACATGAAACGGCAAGCGGCAGATGTGTTGTGGTGCAAAAAAAAACAACAATGGGTGGATCGTAAAACAAAACGGGATAAAATTAATAGGAAAAAAATATATTTCATTTTTTCAGCGGTTAAATCGGTGGGATTCCCACACTATACAGTAAAAAAAAACACTTTTACATGAAGAGAGTCTCTTTGCCTCGGATTAATTTAATTTAAAAAGTAACAATGGCAGACCGGGGTACATTGCCCTGGGTCGTATTGAGGCTTCATTAAAGAGAGGTGCAGAGTTCCAGATGCGTTTCGCGGATAGCTAAAATCGCGGATAGCAAATTATTGGTTCTTTCGGTAAAGTCACGTAGAAGGTAAATAATAAAAAAAATATATAAAATATATAAAACATAATAAACATAATAAAAGACAACGTCCTATCTTTCCGACAGCTCTGTTCCTCACCTGAGGACGGCTGCTTGCGTTGTGGCCGAAACGTCGTGAGAATTTTATTTTATTGTTTTATTTTTATTGTTTCCCTTCTACGTGACATTACCGAAATAACCGAGAATATGAATCCCTGCAGTCACGAACGCTTTAAATCGAGATTTAAATTCGCGGATAGCAAGTTCGTAAATAACGAGGGAATACTGTGTACAGAAATACCTCGGTTTATGCCCTCCCGATTTACGTATTTTCTCTGTCACGTGCTCGGCTCATTGTTACCCATCTACCGTGGTTCCTCGCCGCAACGTGCTCGACATTTACGAACTTTACTGCTGAGACCCAACATTGTTTAGGGGCCGTCCATAAATGACGTCACGCGATTGTTGACGATTTCTGACCCCCCTCCCCTCTAGTCACACGGCGTCACAAAAAGTCAGACCCCCCCCCTTCAAATATGACGTCACAAAGCTCTGCCCCCCCCACCCAAAAAAATAAAACATGCTTTAAATCGCTTTAAACTATTGTCATTGTAGTGCGTATTTAATGTGGCGCTGCACTCTGACGTTGTAGGAGAAAACATTTATTAAAAAGTCTATTTAATTAAGTAGAACGTGTTGTCTATATTTATTTAAAGTTGCGCATTTTGATGTGACGTCACATTTCTCAACCCCCCCCCCCTCGTCATACATCGTCACAAATGTCTGACCCCGCCCCACTCGGTGCGTGACGTCATTTATGGACGGCCCCTTACGCAACGTGCAGACGCCAATTGGCGACCCAGCGTTAGCGTCTCTGACTACAGTCGTCTCTATCATTCTGATCACTCGCTCCTCTATTCATATACCCCTCCCCCCACTTACCAATTTATGGCGACTACTTGTTTTAAGTCTAAAAACGATATTCATATGATCAACAACGAATAATCATGCATAAAATACAATACGCAAGGTAATATATCTTCAAATATTCATAATATGCATTTACTTTTCACACCGATGGTTGTGCAGGATAGATGCGCTATGGGTTACTGAGCATGCTCTGTTTAGGTTTTGCACCACAGTAAGATCTACCATCCCATTTTGAGTAGTAGTACTACTACTGCTAATAGGTACTATACCACGTTATGATCCACCATCCCATCTCTTTGCTTCGATTGAAGTATTTACTTTCTGCTTCTTTGGTTCTTTCGGTAAAGTCACGTAGAATGAGAATAAGATAATAAATTGATAAAATAAAATAACACAATAATATTCTCACGACGTTTCGGCCACAACACAAGCGGCCTTCATCAGGTGAAGGGACGAGACTGTCTGGAGGACAGCGCTGTCCTCCAGACAGTCTCGCCGAAACGTCGTGAGAATATTATTGTGTTATTTTATTTTATCAATTTATTATTTTATTCTCATTCTACGTGACTTTACCGAAAGAACCAAAGAAGATGAATCCTTGCAGTCACGAAAGCTTTAAATCGATATTTACTTTCTGGTTTTCAGGAACGCATCACGGGCGTTAACGGGGGTATGCCTGTCCAACAAAAAGCTGTAAATATGTCCCCGTGTATTGATTTTGTTACTTATATTCTCCAAAACGAAGCCAATGATGATTGCGTGTTATCAGATATATCTCTAAATCTAATTGATTAAGTGTTCTCAATCATACAAGCAAATAACATTCTAAACTCCACTCCGAAGGATACATGAATCCACTTCAATGAACATTTGGCTCCGGCTCATTGTGTGGTTGCTGTCTTTCCCGCCTGTATGTGCTTCCTCCTCGTCCCTCTTGAGTCATTCCCCCTCGTCTAGCGTGAGCGAATACTGTGCAGCGGGCAACGCTTTGGCAAGCTTAAAATGATCATTGTTAGAGTGAATGTCTATTCATTACGTGTTTGTGCATTTCTTCGCAGGAACGTGGGTGACATTTGGAGGGCAGATCAGTGAAGAGGTGGGCAGGGACGCGAGGCTCCTTTTGTTCAGAGGCTGAGTAGGCAGCCAATTGTTCCAATTAGCGTACGACGCTGACTTTCACACGCAGGAGGCTAACGAGACGATCTGCGTACCATTGCAATGCCACCGCCTGCCAGGCTCTCCGTTAAGGGCCTAGCAGGTGGTATCAGTTCCGATTAAACGGGTGCATTATTATTCAATTAAGGAAATTGATTTGCTCTGTTATTGGCATTCATCTCAATTAGCCAATGCCAGTTCTCAGACTGGTGTCACTGCCTCCCCACAGTCTGTTAGGGCCACTCCAGCCAGGTGTAGGGTTGCCACCGTGGGAATGCTGTCCCAGTATCGTGAGATTTTTTTTACTCACCTTGATATGCTCCGTGTTTACATCATGAGACCTCCTTTGCCAGTACCAAAATAATAAGAATAGGGTTTTCCCCTTTTTTTTCTGGCAACCAAACTGAAATCTTTTACAAGGAATCATGTTACTGCATTAACCACAATACTTGTGGTCAGAATGCAAACAAAAAACGCACTCTGATAATGTATGCATTGTCTTTGAAACTGATTGGTTCACACCAGAGACAGCTTTCTTTTGAGCCTCGTCTCAAACGGTGCTAGACCAGAGGACGTGGCCAGTTGTCGGAAGGTTTGCGAGTTCGAAACGTGGTTAAGGTGCACATTTAACTAATTTTCCCTCGTGGGTCAAGCAAATACTGTCCGTACAACTTCGTGAGGGTGTCAACTTTGGTTGGCCCAATGAGGCACGGGGCCCCCACCATTGGGATCTTTGAATTTCCACGACTGCTCTGCTCCACACAGGGAGACGCCGTGGTTTTGGGCCACGTGTTGGGATTCCCTCGTCAAATCGCGAAGAAATACGTTCCGGAGATGCTCGTGAAGTGTAAACTTCGCCGACAATGACATTGGCCTTCGAAAACCAAACACATTCCTGCGGAGGGAGCTGGTAGGAACGTTGGGTTGCTCGGTCAATGGCCAGGGTCAATGGCGGCACCACGTGGTGTATTCCGCAAATATGCCCGACTGTGAGGGCGGGCACAAGCCGGCGCGAGTAGGTTAAACGTTGAGTTTTATAAGGGCACCACGGGGTGACCAGCCCCTCCCCACCCAGCCCCACCCCTCTCACTCCCCACCCAGCCCCACCCTCCCCACCCAGCCCCTCCCCACCCTCCATTCCCAGCCCCTCCCCACCCTCCCCACCCAGCCCCTCCCCACCCCTCCCATTTTATCCGGGTGTCCGGAGACATCCACAGACATCCACAATTAATCCCCTGCCTCCTGTGAATTAATCCCGGTTGGGCTTCCAGTCCACTACGTTTCCTACCAGTATAAATAAATACATATATAGGCGATTAAATACATGAAAATAACGTTTCTCTCTCATCAGCTTATCTCATAACTTTACCTCATCACTTTCTGTCATCACTTTCTCGCTCATCACTTTACCTCATCACTTTCTTTACGCCTCTATATAAGGAACGATACAGTAAGCCTTCTCCACAAATGTGGCTGTCGCCTGATGAAACTAGTTGTAATTACTGGCGAAACGTCGTACTCAGATTGTAAACGTTGTGGCTGAGCTCTCCAATACACCGGTTAGTGCTGTACTGGTGAATAATTGGCCACGTTCTGTTTACGTGACAACCCTTACTAGTTGGCTGTGTCGGGTGGTGGCGGGTTTTAACGACACATTTATATATTTACGCGATCTAACCCAAACACCTCTACTATGGATGATATTGTTCGCGAAAGCCTCCTGCGTGTTAAACTGCATTATTACTGCCCTCTGCTGTCCAAGGATCCTTTGTGTTTAAATTGCGCCCCTTCACCCTGGTTGCCTGTTCAGCTCTCCTTCCCTTATCATGCCCAACAGTGGAAAGACAACTCCATTGGAATAATATCCAAGAGATAAAGAGGCCAAACGTGGACCAGAGACCAACCAATAACCAACAAAGCAAATCACTCGTCCCGCTCACTTTAATTAAACGAGAGAGGGCTTGCGTAGCACGCATCCCTTGAAGAGACGGGACGAGTGCTGCTACGGGGGCAGCTTACACTGAAAATTAATGCGCAAGGTTGTCTGTGGCCAGGTGTTCCACATTTTTGTACCACACGAGAAGGTGGAAGTTAGCATGTTTTTGTTGTTGTTGTTACTGTTGTTAAATGACAGCAAACAATGATACTTGTGTTTGGTTACTATCAAAGACCGTATTGCACAAATGCACTTATTTTGTGCAATACTTCTGACTCACAGCGAGAGTGACCTTGGTTCGAATTCCGACTTGGGCGCATTCATTGTGTGGCGTTTTGTATGTTCTCCCCCTGTTCTTTCCTAGCCAAGCAGGTGTAATGGTGATAATGAATAAACTGCTGTCACCAAGGTTGTGGCTTCTCGGCTGGTCCCAACGTCTGCCATGATCCACAGATGGTGGGGGGGACGGCAGAGTAATGAAGTCAAGGCACACGTGGAACTGCAGTGGATTACCGCTGCACTGGATTAGTGCCACCACTCTGCCCATTTGAGCAGCGGGGAGCCACTAATCTCTGTTGGCGGCCCCTAAGCCAGTGGCGGAAATTCTGTAACTTTTTACAGCAGGGACCAGTCACACTATTAGACGGCCGCTGTTGACTTCACGACTGAGCGATCTGCCTCGTAAGCATCTGCCATGGGTGCCTGCGTGCGCAGCTTCGCGGGGTATATTCACATGCACGATTGCCAGTGAGTGCGTGTACGAGCAGGCAGGCGGGCAGGGGTGATATACGTGCGGCGTGCTCGCACGGTTAGCCGTGGTGTTGGAAACGTCTTGGGACCGCTCGATGTGTTTGACGCGTGCGGATTTCCGCAGGTGGCGGAGCAGCTCATGACGGCGGCGTACGACCACGGCGTGAACCTGTTCGACACCGCAGAGGTGTACGCTGCGGGGAAGTACGTGGTAGTGATACGTTTATCAACAATAATGTTATTAAAATAATAAGGTACCAACGAATACCCCCCACATTCATGTCGGCGCTCATTGCGGACAGCGCCGAGGTCAGAGTGCGTCACTTGTGGCGGCGCTCATCATTGCTGGTGGCCCTGAGTCGGCAGTGGGAATTTCTGCATTTACACTCCCTCCATGTGACTATCACGCTTGACTCCCATCAAAGTGATACTCATTTTACCCAGCGCAAAGGGATGACGGGCTGAGTGGACGCCCGACTTTTTATTTAAACGCACATCCAATCGGTTGCGAATTGAGCGCTGTGACCACAGCATTATTTGATCGGATACGCAGAGATGTGACTTACGCAGCAATTACAAGATAGTTTAATAACAATTTTTAAACCTTGCTTCAATCTGCTGCTGGACGAAGGCCTTCCCTCCCTCCCCGACCGCGATGGTCACAGGAGGCTGATTGACCATTCCCTGTTTCTTGCAAATTGGTGATAGCGAGGCCAAAGATCAATTGGGACCTCAATCTCCATTGGGCATCTGTGAAAAAGAGCCTTATAGCTCATCGGATTCCTCCAGTTTACATAAAAGATTCTGATTTTAGCTGTGGCTGGCAATTAAACGAAGGTTCACTGTGCACCTCGCACACCATACTCCCACCTCCCCCCCTTGCTTACCCGTATATATTTAGTTTAAATTAATTATATGCATGAACAATGCCTTATAAATATAATCGACAGTTGATATGACATGGTGACATTTTTTATCTGGTGCTGAGACACGTAGTTTAAAAAAGAGATGTTGTGAAAGTGACGTGCTTGTAAATTGTTTTTTACATTCCTCTACGACACTGGTGTAACCATCACCCCCTCATTCACGCACTTACTCTCACAGCCACTCACCCAGCCACTCACCACTAGAGTAACCATCACCCCCTCATTCACGCACTTACTCACACAGCCACTCACCACTAGTGTAACCATCACCCCCTCATTCACGCACTTACTCACACAGTCACTCACCACTAGTGTAACCATCACCCCCTCATTCACGCACTTACTCACACAGCCACTCACCCAGCCACTCACCACTGGTGTAACCATCACACCCTCATTCACGCACTTACTCACACAGCCACTCACCCAGCCACTCACCACTAGAGTAACCATCACCCCCTCATTCACGCACTTACTCACACAGCCACTCACCACTAGTGTAACCATCACCCCCTCATTCACGCACTTACTCACACAGCCACTCACCCAGCCACTCACCACTAGTGTAACCATCACCAACTCATTCACGCACTTACTCACACAGCCACTCACCCAGCCACTCACCACTAGTGTAACCATCACACCCTCATTCACGCACTTACTCACACAGCTACTCACCCAGCCACTCACCACTAGTGTAACCATCACCCCCTCATTCACGCACTTACTCACACAGCCACTCACCCAGCCACTCACCACTAGAGTAACCATCACCCCCTCATTCACGCACTTACTCACACAGCCACTCACCACTAGTGTAACCATCACCCCCTCATTCACACAGCCACTCACCCAGTCACTCACCACTAGTGTAACCATCACCCCCTCATTCACGCACTTACTCACACAGCCACTCACCCAGCCACTCACCACTAGTGTAACCATCACACCCTCATTCACGCACTTACTCACACAGCCACTCACCCAGTCACTCACCACTAGTGTAACCATCACCTCCTAATTCACGCACTTACACAGCCACTCACCCAGCCACTCACCACTAGTGTAACCATCACCCCCTCATTCACGCACTTACTCACACAGCCACTCACCCAGTCACTCACCATTGGTGTAACCATCACACCCTCATTCACGCACTTACTCACACAGCCACTCACCCAGTCACTCACCACTAGTGTAACCATCACCCCCTCATTCACGCACTTACTCACACAGCCACTCACCCAGCCACTCACCACTAGTGTAACCATCACACCCTCATTCACGCACTTACTCACACAGCCACTCACCCAGTCACTCACCACTAGTGTAACCATCACCTCCTAATTCACGCACTTACACAGTCACTCACCCAGCCACTCACCACTAGTGTAACCATCACCCCCTCATTCACGCACTTACTCACACAGCCACTCACCCAGTCACTCACCATTGGTGTAACCATCACACCCTCATTCACGCACTTACTCACACAGCCACTCACCCAGTCACTCACCACTAGTGTAACCATCACCCCCTCATTCACGCACTTACTCACACAGCCACTCACCCAGTCACTCACCATTGGTGTAACCATCACACCCTCATTCACGCACTTACTCACACAGCCACTCACCCTGCCACTCACTACTAGTGTAACCATCACCCCCTCATTCATGCACTTACTCACACAGCCACTCACCCAGTCACTCACCATTGGTGTAACCATCACACCCTCATTCACGCACTTACTCACACAGCCACTCACCCAGCCACTCACCACTAGTGTAACCATCACCTCCTAATTCACGCACTTACACAGCCACTCACCCAGCCACTCACCACTAGTGTAACCATCACCCCCTCATTCACGCACTTACTCACACAGCCACTCACCCAGCCACTCACCACTAGTGTAACCATCACACCCTCATTCACGCACTTAGACAGCCACTCACCCAGCCACTCACCACTGGTGTAACCATCACACCCTCATTCACGCACTTACTCACACAGCCACTCACCCAGCCACTCACCATTGGTGTAACCATCAACCGCACGGTAACATCATCAGCAGGCCAATGCGCACATATCCTTCATGAATGTAAAATTTAAAACCCAAGCCACAGCGGCGCGATTGTGGCCATGCAATCCAAACTATGGAGCATACAGCACGCCAATGTAGTCTGCGCGTCATTCATGGAGGAGTAGAACTGCAACGCGAACTCTCTCCTGAAGCCTTCTCGTGGCTAGCAGCAGACCTTGACTCTGGCATTTAGCTCCTGAACATAATTCCATAAGCAAGAATATAATATAATTCTGTTTATCTCTGCTTGTTGCGTTAGACGCTGTCTATCCATCATTTCACTTCACAGTACTGATTAGCCTTTTTGCTCTCTCATTAAGTTTTTTTTTTTCCCCCGCAGGGCAGAGGTGATCATGGGGGACATCATCAAGAAAAAGGGCTGGAAGTGAGCGTCATTGCATTTGCAGATGACACACACACACACGTGCTCTCTTTCGTAGTTTAAAAACATGTTTGTCAAAGGACGAGTTTGACTTCTATAGCTTTGGGAGTGGGCGGCAGGGGTTTCGCTTCGTCCCTCACATTAGGAATCGCGGGTGCATATAATTTCTTAAAAATGTTAATTGGAAATTATTTAACATAAATTTATAAAGGTGCCAAGTTTAAGCGGGGGTTGCCCCTCCCCGTCCCCGCAAACTCCACCCATGATATTCGTTTAAAATGTTTTATTGCTGATAATAGTCGTCTACTGCGGTTATTGTTCATAACTGTTGCAGCTTAAGGAGCACAACAATAAACAGCAATACATGAATCATGAAATATGTACCAGGACAGAATGAATAATTCAACATCAGCATTTATGACAAACCTGCAAATCGTACATTAGGGGGAGTGGGCAGGGCAGCGTTTGGAGTGTCATTGATCTGAGGAGGAAGGTGCTGAAGATTACCTCGTGTGCACTTTATTTATACCTTGCTGATGTTGAGTATTCCCTCGGAACCATCAAAATGTTCCAGTAAACTTTTGCCCGTGGCTTTGTGTGGCTGCCAAAAAGTGTCTCGGCGTTCAAATGAGCGCTGGCCGTTGCTCTTCTTCACCGGGGGGGCCTCCGATCCAGTGGCAGGAGTTCCACGTTCTTATGGCGGGGCCAGTTTCTCCGTGGGACAACTTCGGTTGACTTACCACACAGTCAATCTTGAGTTGAAGCTTTCGTGACTGCAGGAATCCATACTCTTTGGTTCTTTCTGTAAAGTCACGTAGGTAGAAAAATAAAACAATATAAAAATAAGATATCACGACGTTTCGATCGCAACACAAAGCGGTCGTCCTTGGGCAGAACAAATAATCCAGCAGTGGAACTGCTGAACGGGGTCAGCAGTTCAACTTCTGGACTATGAACGGGTTCAGCAGTTCCACTGTGGACTATGAACTCGTTCAGCAGTTCAACTTCTGGACTATGAACTCGTTCAGCAGTGCCACTGCTGGACTATGAACGGGTTCAGCAGTGGAACTTCTGGACTATGAACGGGTTCAGCAGTGGAACTTCTGGACTATGAACGGGTTCAGCAGTGCAACTGCTGGACTATGAACGGGTTCAGCAGTTCAACTGCTGGACTATGAACGGGTTCAGCAGTGGAACTTCTGGACTATGAACGGGTTCAGCAGTTCAACTTCTGGACTATGAACGGGTTCAGCAGTGGAACTTCTGGACTATGAACGGGTTCAGCAGTGCCACTGCTGGACTATGAACGGGTTCAGCAGTTCAACTGCTGGACTATGAACGGGTTCAGCAGTGGAACTTCTGGACTATGAACGGGTTCAGCAGTTCAACTTCTGGACTATGAACGGGTTCAGCAGTGCCACTGCTGGACTATGAACGGGTTCAGCAGTTCAACTGCTGGACTATGAACGGGTTCAGCAGTGGAACTTCTGGACTATGAACGGGTTCAGCAGTTCAACTTCTGGACTATGAACGGGTTCAGCAGTGGAACTTCTGGACTATGAACGGGTTCAGCAGTGCCACTTCTGGACTATGAACGGGTTCAGCAGTTCAACTGCTGGACTATGAACGGGTTCAGCAGTGGAACTGTTGGATTATTTTTTCTGCCTGAGGACGACCGCTTTGTGTTGCGGTCGAAACGTCGTGACATCTTATTTTTTATATTGTTTTATTTTTCTACCTTCCGTGACTTTACCGAAAGAACCAAAGAGCACACGGTCATTGTTCACGAGGTGGTACTTAGTTTACCAACCCCAGGAGAGATGATGTGCCAAGTCAAAACCCGGCTGCTTCTCTACCCATTGAGCTCTGCCCAAGCCCTATGTGTGGTTTGCTACGGATAGACTGGGCCCTGTCATGGGAATGTGTAATTCCCACCACGATCTCCGGATCACCAAAATACTTTGTTTGGTTTTGAGAATCGTTGTGGTAGGTAGGTTGTCACAAGCCCTGTTTATCTGTTTGAGAATCGTTGTGGTAGGTAGGTTGTCACAAGCCCTGTTTATCTGTTTGAGAATCGTTGTGGTAGGTAGGTTGTCACAGGCCCTGTTTATCTGTTTGAGAATCGTTGTGGTAGGTAGGTAGTCACAAGCCCTGTTTACCTGTTTGAGAATCGTTGTGGTAGGTAGGTTGTTACAAGCCCTGTTAATCTGTTTGAGAATCGTTGTGGTAGGTAGGTTGTTACAGGCCCTGTTTATCTGTTTGAGAATCGTTGTGGTAGGTAGGTTGTCACAAGCCCTGTTAATCTGTTTGAGAATCGTTGTGGTAGGTAGGTTGTCATAGGCCCTGTTTATCTGTTTGAGAATCGTTGTGGTCAGTAGGTTGTCACAAGCCCTGTTAATCTGTTTGAGAATCGTTGTGGTAGGTAGGTTGTCATAGGCCCTGTTTATCTGTTTGAGAATCGTTGTGGTAGGTAGGTTGTCACAAGCCCTGTTTACCTGTTTGAGAATCGTTGTGGTAGGTAGGTTGTCACAAGCCCTGTTAATCTGTTTGAGAATCATTGTGGTAGGCAGGTTGTCACAAGCCCTGTTTATCTGTTTGAGAATCGTTGTGGTAGGTAGGTTGCCACAAGTTTGTTTCTTGTGTTCTAGGCGATCAAGTCTGGTGATCACGACCAAAATCTACTGGGGAGGGAAGTAAGTAACACCAGTTCACATCACCTCCACATTCCCACAATCTAACACATCTGGTATTGTGTTAGACGAGTCCCAATGATCGCGTCAGTAGACTGCTGTCTCCCAGGTAAGGAGACTGCTGTCTCATTGATTTCCACTGTGAACTCTCTGATATTGTTAGAAAATACTGTATTCTCACAATTATAATACAGACTTTACCCCCCCCCCCCCCTGTATTTTAAAGCACAGTTTGGAGGTGCATCTGAAAATCTAGTAGATGTGTGGGTGTGTAGGTGTGAATTTATAGGTGTGTATGTGTGTAGGTGTGTATGTGTGTAGGTGTGTATGTGTGTATATGTATAGGTGTGCAGGTGTGTAGGTGTGTATAGTTGTGTAGGTGTGCATGTGTGTATGTGTATAGGTGTGTAGGTGTGTAGGTGTGTATGTGTGTAGGTGTGTATGTGTGTAGGTGTGTATGTGTGTAGGTGTGTATGTGTGTAGGTGTGTATGTATGTGTGTAGGTGTGTAGATGTGTATGTGTGTATGTGTGTAGGTGTGTAGATGTGTAGGTGTGTAGGTGTGTATGTATGTGTGTAGATGTGTATGTGTGTAGGTGTGTATGGAACATCTTCGCCGGTTAGAAACATTTAGGCTAGCCTGCCTACAATCCATCCTGGGTGTGTATAGATGTGCATGTGTGTAGGTGTGTATGTATGTGTGTAGGTGTGTAGATGTGTATGTGTGTATGTGTGTAGGTGTGTAGGTGTGTATGTGTGTAGGTGTGTATGTATGTGTGTAGATGTGTATGTGTATGTGTGTATGTGTGTAGGTGTGTATGGAACATCTTCGCCGATTAGAAACATTTAGGTTAGCCTGCCTACAATCCATCCTGGGTTTAACCAGGCTGGATTGTGTGAGGAGCTCACAAATCCTTGAAAGATCTGGGCAAGTTCCCATCGGTGAGCTCCTCCGGCAGGCAAGGCTGCGTTGGCTGGGTCATGTAGCCCGCATGCCCAGCCACCGCATGCCGAAACAGCTTTTGTTCGGCCGGATCGAGGGGGCTAAACGGACGCGGCACGGGCTAGAGAAGAGATGGAGTGATGTGGTACAGAAGGACGTGGAGCTGAGTGGACTTGCCGATGACTGGTACCAGCGGTGTAAAGATCGGCCTCTGTGGAGGAGGCTCGTGAAGGACGCTACTGGGCAGTTGGAGGTAGTCGCCCTCCAACAACAACGGAGGGTGGAGGAGCGACGCTCACAACAACGAGTGGAGCACCGGGTGGCTAAAGCACAGCAGGTTGGCACAGTAGGGGGGACAGGTGGTGCATCAGCCAGTCATCTCAGTCATCTTAGTCAGTCGACCCGCGGCACCTGGGTCTGCCCCATGACCTTCTGCCCGCGGGCGTTCGACACTTCACGTGGCCTCAAGGTGCACATGGCCTGGCACAAGTGTCGTGACGTCACCGCCACTTAGTGGCGAATGGCGGTTGTTGTTGTGTATGTGTGTGGCGAGCGATAGTGTAGCGGTTAGCGCGCTGCGCTATGAACCTGGCGACCCGGGTTCGATTCCCGCTCACGGCCAACACCAGTGACGATTATCTTAACCGGTCCCGGGCCTCCCCTAGGTCGACTCAGCTTCAAATGAGTACCTGGTGCAGTGTGTAAACATCGCCACTAGGGAGACAAAGGCGGTCGGGCGTGGTGCTGGCCACCCACCCCCTTGTGTACCGTTACGGGCCTTCATAGGTGCTCGCTAACAGCACTTGCCCCTACAGTCTGTTAAGGCTATATGGGGGATCTTTATCTTTACGTGTGTACGTGTGTATGTGTGTGACGAGATTAGTATAAATTAATTGACACCAGGCTTATTGTTTTAGGTGTGTCTTACTTTCTGGAGTACTGTTGAAATCCAGAGTATACGGTCACGGTATATCTTTAATTATGTTGCAGATAACAGCTCTGTGCCTGTATAGGGTACACATCTTTAAATTATTAAACCTCAATTTTAGCCTGCTCCTATATATCACAAATGCTCTTGCATTAGTTTAGGCTGCACTGCCTGATTGCTGTTTATTGTAGAACTATGCCATCCAAGCACTAAATAAGCCCTGTTTAGGTTACTAGATGTGATTTAATTCGGACATATACATCGCAACAAATACATCTGCAGACGTGTTTCTGCATTGTTACTTGCACGCTATAAATAGATATTATGATGAATGATGATTTGTGACTGATGATGATGATGGTGAATGTTGAAGATCATGAAAATTACGTTGAATGAAGATGATGGATGGATGAATACGATGCCCACTGTTGAATGAAGATGATGAATGAAGACAACGTTGAATGAGGATGAAGGTGAATGTTGAATGATGAATGATGATGAATGAAGACGATGGTGAATGAAGATTTCAGATGATGACGGCATGATGATGACGATGATGATGACACGCGTCCGGCCTCTCCTCTTTGCCGCACAGAGCGGAGACGGAGCGAGGCCTCTCGCGGAAGCACATCATCGAAGGTGACACCGCCGTCGCGGGCTCCGCTCGCGGAACACCGCATCACCGCAGTCGCCGAGAGTGGCACGCGGCACGCCGCCGCTGTCCCTGCTCGATGAACGGCTGCCGCTTCCCCCATCGCGTCCTAGCCGGAGTCGCGTGGCTTCGCGTGATTTACCTGAAGCGTTTCGAGTCCACACCGTGCAGTGCAGCAGACCTAGGCGGCCTGCGATATTCTCTCGTTGCTATCTTGAGTAGTGCTCTGTACGAACGTATTGGCGGTACACCGTGTTGTGCGCGGTCTCGAACGAAAAACCAAAGAGGCAAAATGTTTGCAAGAATTGCTTATTTCCCCCGCGGTTCGCAAACCCCGGTGAGAAAATCTTGCGGGGTGGTGGTGCGTCGAAATCGGTTCTCGCGATGTCAAAGCAGTCGGAAGACGAATGTCAATTCAAATTTTTATTTTAGGCTGTTGTACGTGGACCGGTGTGTTATGCTGCATCGGTGTACCGCCAACATGTCCACATGTATGTAATATTCTTATTTTGGTGTATGCAACTTCTACATTAGTTACACATTTGCGACATGCAATACAGTATGTACGTGTACACGCACAGCTGTTTTGTCAATCTACTGCTGGATGAGGCCTGCCGACGTTGTGTGGGTCACAGAGTGGTTATTTTGTGTTAGTTTATTGTCCTTTCCCGCACCTCCGATTAGCACGGTTGGCTACGTAACGGTGGGAGAAGAGTCCAACGTGTGTACAGACAAATTTCACCATACTACACCAGGCTGGTCAGTGCAATTTGGTGACGGCATGGATCAATAGACGTGGTAGCACATGAGTACAGTTCAACAAATGATATTGCTGCACTGCCCATCAGATAGCCCCGCAGCAGCCTATAACAACCCTGCTGTGCACGGTGGTCACCCATCCAAGGCACTGTCCAGGCTTAAGCCTGCTTGGCTTTTGAGGCCTGACGAGATCGGGAGCATCTGGCCGATTTGGTTACGAGACAAAACGTGTACAGCTGCGATAACGATTGCACCTTCTACCGTGGGAATGACAACTATTGACTGAAGCTATTCAGGGAACGTTTTTTTCCTCCCTTCTCTTGCAACATGACACGATGTTGTGTCATTTACGCTGGCAAGGGAAAATTAAAAAAAAACTATCAGACGGTATATTTGTAGCGTGTGTTGAACTTCTTTCGCACCGTACATAGCCAACCATCCTAATCGGAGGTGCGGGGAAGGACGACAAAAAGAGTCAACTTCCGTACGAATCACGTGCGTTCATTATATTCACGTAATTTCTCAAAATTATCCTGTTGTTAAAATCTCCCGGATTGTTTTTAAATAGTTAATGGGGAGATCGACGCCCATTCCGGGAGTGTTGGCAAACCCCGCTTCTTCGAGTCTCTTGCGACCTACCCCGCCACCACCATCCCACATCACTTCGTCTCCCACGCCCTTAGCACCCCCCTTGTCTCCTCCCTTGCTGTCTGCGCCCTCTATGGCCACGCTCCGGTCTGCGTATCCGCGACTCCACTTGGTTCCCCGCCGCGCGCCTCCTCGTCGTCTTTATCCACACCTCCGGCCCCATTGTCCCTTGCGCCCCCCCCCACCGCCACCTTGCGCGGCCACTCTTCGTGACGCCCCCTTCAATTTCTCTCTCTCTCTCTCTGCCCCGTAACCGCCCCCACTTGTTGCCACCAAACCCGTCGCCAGGGCTGGCCGGCTCGCTGCAGCGGCTGCAGCTGGACTACGTGGACGTGGTGTTCGCCAACCGGCCCGACCCCAACACGCCCATGGAAGAGGTGGTGCGCGCCATGACCCACGTGATCACGCAGGGCCGGGCCATGTACTGGGGCACGTCGCGCTGGAGCAGCGCCGAGATCATGGTACGGGCCCAGGGCCGCACACGCGAACAGAGAGAGCCGGTGTCTCTTATCGTGGTTCCCCCCCCCCACCACCAACCAACCGCGCAACCGAGCCGCGCCGGGGCTGCGCCGAACCAGCCCGGCACGGCTCAGGAGGTGCCACGTTGTGTTTCCACTGCAGAAGCCGAGCCGCGCTGCCGATGTCGCATGCGCAGTGAGTCGAGACGCACATCGATGACACGGTGACGCTGTGCCCTCGCTGTGTACCGACATCACACGCAATGAACTTGCGATCAGCCCCATCCCTGACCCTGCTTGGCCCCAAGCTGGTTTCACGTGCATCGTGAGGCCGGTATATGACGGTTTGGTTCTGGCTCAGTGCGGCAAATATTCATAGCCAGTGTAAAAATTGTCCGATCCCGCGCTGGCTCGGCTCGGAATGACTGATGGAGATGAGCACCCACATCTGTTGACTTGGTGCACGGTACAGCGTTGTATCTCACTGCACACACTGGCGTGCGTGGTAGCGCGTATGTTCGAATCAGAATATTTATTCAGGCTGGAATAATCCGATGAGCTATGAAGCTCTGTTTTACAGGTGCCCAGTCGGGGCAGCTCAGAAGGCAGTGGCGAATGTGCAGGAGGCAATGGCGAAAGTGGGTAGTGCATTTTACTCCAAACCCGGGGACCTGGGTTCAATTCCCGGCCATGGTTAACATCAGTGGCAAATTATATCTGAACTGGTCCGGGGCCTTCTGTACAAGTGCTTGGCACAGTATGTATGCACTGGGGAGACAAAGGTGGCCGGGCGTGGTGTTGGCCACCCACTCCCTCGTGTGCTGTGCTGACCCTCATAGGTGCTGCTCGCTAACAACACTTGGCCCGACAATCAGTGTAGGTCACACAGGGGATCTCTGTTTAGAATATTTAGATTGTTTGGATGCTTTACATTTTCACGTCATAAACCACTTCGTTGAGCCATCGATTGGGGCCAGGTCACTTCTGAAAAAGAAGCTAATAGTTCAGTGAGCTTTACCTGGTAAAATAAACATATATTTAGTTTTAGTGATTTTCTTACCGTTCCTACACGTTGCACTACTATCGTATTTTCATATTGTGTGCTGCTGTGACTTTCTGACCCGCCCCTACTGGACATCTGTGCAAAAAGAGCACAGATTTTTTACTGCCGGTCGGTGGTGTTGCAGGTAAGCAATAAAAAAACCCTCGATACACAGTTATCGGTGAGAGCACTGGAGCTGTGTCCGCGTTGGAAGTGGTCCCTTGGGTTCACGGGACCATGGGGTGAGACGTAGGAGACTGCACGGTTTCACTCACAGTTGTATATGGTCATCGTTGCTGATTGAAAACGGACACCAGATAGTGACGAGGGTGAACGCAGAGCTCACCGGTAAGCGGGTAGCCAGTGCGGCCGTCACTTATTTATGTTTCAAGAAACTCCACCGCGTGAATATTGTATTCAGCTGTAGCCTCTTTCATATGTTTGTATTGTTTGTTGTTGTTGTAACGTTCTGACCCCGTGGCCTGGCTGGACATCCGTGCACAAAGAGCTTTTATAGCACATCGCATTCCTCCAATGTAAACAAAGAATCCGATCCTGCAGGAGGCCTACTCGGTGGCGCGTCAGTTCAACCTGGTGCCACCGGTGTGCGAGCAGGCCGAGTACCACCTCTTCCAGCGCGACAAAGTGGAGATGCAGCTGCCAGAGCTCTACCACAAGATCGGTGAGAGACCTCCTAGTGCCAGGAGGGCCCATATTTACTATCATTATGATTATTAGTGAACATTTCATGTACATTTCGATTTAAAGCTTTCGTGACTGCAATGATTCATCTTCTTTGGTTCTTTCGGTAAAGTCACGTAGAATGATAATAAAATAATAAATTGATAAAATAAAATAACACAATAATATTCTCAGTGAGAATGATAAAATAAAATAACACAATAATATTCTCAGTGAGAATATATTATTGTGTTATTTTATTTTTTCAATTTATTATTTTATTATCATTCTACGTGACTTTACCGAAAGAACCAAAGAAGATTTCATGTACAGCCGAGGTGGCCGGGTGACTGCTGCTTTACTGGACATCTGTGGAAAAAAGAGCTTTATAGCTCATCGTATTCCTCCGGTATAAATAAATGTTCTGATTCTGGAGGCTTGGACCATGGAGACCGCGGATTAAAATCCAGACACTCTGGTGATTACATTGGGGTCCTCAAGTCTAGTGGCTATATTTACTTTCAGGTGACTGCATACACAACAACAAATAAATCGTCATTAAAATTGTTTCTGGGAAGGTGGCTTGGCTCTCCAACACACTGGCGTGCTGTACTAGTGACGAATTAGCATGTTCTGTTTACGTGACAGCCCTTACTAGTTGTCTGTGTCGGGTGGTGGCGGGTTTTAACGACACATTTATATATTTACACCATTTAACCCCCCAAAAAACCTCTATTATGGATGATATTGGTCGCGAAAACCTACGTGTTAAACTTCTGGGAAGGTGTGACCCTCTACTATGAAGATCAGATGCATAGTTCTGTGATGTCCGCTTCTGTGGGCCATTCTCTAACTTGGGGGGTTGAACTCCTTTTCTATTGGATCGGTCCTCCCATCACACCCTGCATGTCAAATAACATCACAATACAATACAATATTTTTTGTATTGTTTGTTGTAACTTGCTGATCTGCCCTTAGTGGACATCTTATTTTACAGCTCATCGGATTTCTCCAGGATAAATAAAGATTCTGACAATACTGCACATATAGTGGATGCACACAGCCTTGTTTTAGAACACCTCAAAGCAGACAAACTTATGGTCATATTATTTTAGGCAGCGGTGGTCGGACAATGTGACATGTTTCCGGTTTCATCCTTGTTATGAATCATCTGTAAAGTACAGGGTGCTTCAAAAATGTTTAACACTTACATGTGACTATCGTTTTTAGTGAAAAAAGAACGGATAATACACTGTAACGTGATAACAAATGTATGTTAATAGCTTCACAAAGTCAAAGAGTCTCCCACTTGTTCGCCATCGTTGTCAACACGTGGCCTGGAATCTTCTCCAGGTGATCTCCAGAGCCTGGAGGCAGCAGCACATTTCTTGTGGCGTTGTTGCAAATTCTCAGAAGTGTTGAAAAGAAAATTAAGCACCCTGCACAGCCATCGTGAGTTTGCAATAAGGTTTATTTGTCTTTGTGCGTGTGTGTGTGGCACAGGCGTGGGTGCCATGACATGGTCCCCGCTGGCGTGTGGGCTCCTGACTGGGAAGTACGAGGATGGGATCCCAAACTCCTGCCGAGCAGGACTGAAGGTGACTGTAGCAGCAACAGTGGCAGCAGCAGCAGCGGCATCATCACACGTACACCCACCACGTGCACACGCGTGTGCATAGACCTGACGGCAGTGCAGCCCCCTCGCCAAACAGCCACGGGCTCGCAGTCGTCATTACGCACAAAGTGCCTGCCACAAATGAACCACAGTACCTTGCTGATCTCATCAAGGAGCATGAACCACCACGTGAACCCCGGTCATCCTCGCAGCGGCTTGTTGCTAACCATCGAACAAAGGCGGCGGTCGCCGCATCGCGCGCTTTCAGATGCGCTTCTGCGGCCGTCTGTAACGCTCTTCTTTCTGATATTATGGAGCCACTGGAGATATGTACTTTTAAATCTAGTTTGAAAAGTCATTTCTTTACCACTGCTTTTTGTGTTGAGTTTGCTGTCCTTCCCCCGCACCTCCGGTTAGTGCGGTTGGCTTCGTACGGTGCAAAATAAGTTCAACATACGTACGTACGTACATAATAGCTGCGTCAACTGCCCCGAAGTTAACCCGGGCATGAATTAATGTCGGTGTTCGCTGTCTACTTAGACGGCACGCTTCGGCCTAGCGGCGTGAGCCTGTTTAAATGGAATAAAAACTAAGGGGGTGGGGGAGGAGGGGGGGAACACCACGATCAGTGTTCAGCAAATGTTTTGAAAATGTTCCAACGTTCAACAGAACGAGTCACGATACGAACTGCTCACGTCTATCGTGCATTCTGCTCTGGCCGTCACCCCCTATGTGTATGAGGAAAGGTTGCGACACCGATCACTGAATTGACTGTAATAATTTAGAGGGGTGGGGGGGGGGGCGTTAGCCCCCCTCAGCCCCCCCCCAATGATTAGAGGGCTTGCACACACATATATTAATAATTTTAACATTTAGTTTCACTTACGTCTGTAATGTCAAATTCAGTTCACCAGTCCTGTAAAATATACCTTTTTTAAATGAAACTAGAGACCTGTAATGAGAGACTTGTATAGCCATTTTTTGTCAATCCACTGCTGGATGAGGGCCTCCCCACGCCGCGTTAATTTACCATACTTCATCGTGCCAGCTGGTGCGGGTTGGTGGAAGGCGGAAAGCACGGACGTTGGAACACAATGCAGTACATCAATGGATTTTACTCCACTGCTGTCTGCTGCCCACAACGTAGCCCCGCAGCAGCCTACGTTGAGTGTGCTGGCAATCTATAATGTAGATTGCCAGTACACTCACTCCGAATAAGAACGAGGCTTAGTCTACATGAGTGTTTTTTATTATTATTATTATTTTATTATTATTTATTAGAATTTTATTTGTATTCACTTTTATTATTTTTCTATCTAAGTGACTTTACCGAAAAAAAACAAAGAATATTAATTCCTGCAGTCACGAAAGTTTAAAGTCAAATTGTATTTGATCATTGGCGGCACGCACGTTTTTTAATCGATGATGATGATGATACTGATGGTGATGATGTGTACAGTAGCGGTTAGCACGCTGCTCTACGAGCCCGGCGACCGGAGTTCGATTCCCGCTCACGGCCAATAACAGTTACGATTATCTGAATTGGTCTTGGGCCTCTCCTAGGTCGTTGCAGCCTCAAATCAGTCCCTGGTGCGGTGTGTAAACTTCGCCACTGGGGAGACAAAGGCGGCAGGCCGTGGTGTTGACCGCTCACCCCATTCGTGTGCCGTGCCGGCCTTCATACAGTGAGGGAAAAAAGTATTTGATCCCCTGCCGATTTTGTACGTTTGCCAACTGACAAAGAAATGATCAGTCTATAATTTTAATGGTAGGTTTATTTGAACAGTGAGAGACAGAATAACAACAAAAAAATCCAGAAAAACGCATGTCAAAATTTTTATAAATTAATTTGCATTTTAATGAGGGAAATAAGTATATGACCCCTCTGCAAAACATGACTTAGTACTTAGTGGCAAAACCCTTGTTGGCAATCACAGAGGTCAGACGTTTCTTGTAGTTGGCCACCAGGATTGCACACATCTCAGAAGGGATTTTGTCCCACTCCTCTTTGCAGATCTTCTCCAAGTCATTAAGGTTTCGAGGCTGATGTTTGGCAACTCGAACCTTCAGCTCCCTCCACAGATTTTCTATGGGATTAAGGTCTGGAGACTGGCTTGGCCACTCCAGGACCTTAATGTGCTTCTTCTTGAGCCACTCCTTTGTTGCCTTGGCCGTGTGTTTTGGGTCATTGTCATGCTGGAATACCCATCCACGACCCATTTTCAATGCCCTGGCTGAGGGAAGGAAGTTCTCACCCAAGATTTGACGGTACATGGCCCCGTCCATCGTCCCTCTAATGCGGTGAAGTTGTCCTGTCCCCATAGCAGAAAAACACCCCCAAAGCATAATGTTTCCACCTCCATGTTTGACGGTGGGGATGGTGTTCTTGGGGGCATAGGCAACATTCCTCCTCCTCCAAACACGGCGAGTTGAGTTGATGCCAAAGAGCTCCATTTTGGTCTCATCTGACCACAACACTTTCACCCAGTTGTCCTCTGAATCATTCAGATGTTCATTGGCAAACTTCAGACGGGCATGTATATGTGCTTTCTTGAGCAGGGGGGACCTTGCGGGCACTGCAGGATTTCAGTCCTTCACGGTGTAGTGTGTTACCAATTGTTGTATTGGTGACTATGGTCCCAGCTGCCTTGAGATCATTGACAAGATCCTCCCGTGTGGTTCTGGGCTGATTCCTCACCGTTCTCATGATCATTTCGTCCACGAGGTGAGATCTTGCATGGAGCCCCAGGCCGAGGGAGATTGACAGTTCGTTTGTGTTTCTTCCATTTGCGAATAATCGCACCAACTGTTGTCACCTTCTCACCAAGCTGCTTGGCAATGGTCTTGTAGCCTATTCCAGCCTTGTGTAGGTCTACAATCTTGTCCCTGACATCCTTGGAAAGCTCTTTGGTCTTGGCCATGGTGGAGAGTTTGGAATCTGATTGATTGATTGCTTCTGTGGACAGGTGTCTTTTATACAGGTAACAAGCTGAGATTAGGAGCACTCCCTTTAAGAGTGTGCTCCTAATCTCAGCTCGTTACCTGTATAAAAGACACCTAGGAGCCAGAAATCTTTCTCATTGAGAGGGGGTCAAATACGTATTTCCCTCATTAAAATGCAAATCAATTTATAACATTTTTGACATGCGTTTTTCTGGATTTTGTTGTTGTTATTCTGTCTCTCAGTGTTCAAATAAACCTACCATTAAAATTATAGACTGCTCATTTCTTTGTCAGTGGGCAAACGTACAAAATCAGCAGGGGATCAAATACTTCTTTCCCTCACTGTAGGTGCTTGCTAACAGCACTTGCCCCGACAATATGTTAAGGCTATACGGCTTGGATCTTTGTCTTTGTGTATGCCAGGGCTATCAGTGGCTGAAGGAGCGCGTGCACAGTGAGGAGGGGCGTCGACAGCAGGGCCAGCTCAAGGAGCTGCACACCCTCACTGAACAGCTGGAGTGCACGCTGCCACAGCTCGCCATCGGTGAGACTCAACTCTGTCGACTGCTGGATTAAGGTCCCCACAATGCCCGACACCACCCGTCATGGTTTTGCGATGCCACGATCCATCTCCAGGTTAAGGACTCACTGAGCTATATCGCTTTTTTTTTCTTTCAGAAATGACCTGGCCACAAATGATAGCTCAACGAAGTAGCTTATCACGTGGACATTTATAGCGGCCAAATACTCTTAAACGCATGTTTGCAAATGTGGAGGGAAAAACCGGAGGATGCGGAGAAAAATTTATGCATCTACGGGGACAATATGCAAATCGGGATCGAACCCACGACCTCCTGTAAACATTGTTTTCCCATTCGATTACGCCTCTAAATTGTTGAAGCTATAATTCCACCACTATTCATATTCTTTGGTTCTTTCGGTAAAGTCACGTAGATAGAAAAATTATAATAAAAAGTTAATTAAAATAATAAAAAAACCACTAATGTAAACTGTAGCCTGGTTCTTAATCAGAGTGAGTGTACTGGCAGTCTATAATGTAGACTGTAGCCTGGTTATTAAGTTGGGTGAGTGTACTGGCAGTCTAGCGTTGTTATAACAATTCTATTTAATTAATATTTATTTAAGGTTGCGCATTTTGATGTGACGTCACATTTCTCAAACCCCCCCTCCCCCCCTCGTCACACATCGTCACAAATGTCTGACACCCCTCCCCCCCCCCCTCGGTGCGTGACGTCATTTATGGACGGCCCCTATCCCAAGGACAAGACTTGGAATCGGTGACAAAGCCTTTGCCATTGCAGCATGAACGTTTTGGAACAACCTTGTTTCCTCATTTAACATCATACATCTTATTCTTAGTTTTTTCGGTAAAGTCACGTTGAAGAGAAACAACAAAATAATATAATATATATAAAAATTCAACATGACTTTACCGAAAAAACTAAGAATATGAATTACTGCAGTCACGAAAGCTTTAAATCAAAATCATACATCTTCCTTCAAAATAATTTTAAAGCAGAATATTAGGGATTTGGAAATGCAGTATTGAGAGTTACATGTTAATGTTTACTTTTTATTGAGGGACTGTGTGTTGTCTTTGTGTGGTCTAGGACTGTTTTTGCTGTTGTTTTACTGCCTTTCCGAAGGTTGGGAATCGATTATGCAATTTTAACTTATATTATTCATTTATTTAAGGGGTGCTACAGTGTTGAGATGTTATCTTTCTCGCCTGGTTTGTAAGAAGTCGGGGGTTCGATCCCGACCCTGACGCCTGCTGTATATTTGCAGTTTGCATGTTCTCTCTCCCCGTGGTCACATGGATTGTTTCTCTGGGTCCTCCGGTTTTTCCTTCAACATTTAGAATAATGCATTGAGGTTTTTTAGATTATTTTGGTGCTATAAATGTCCAAATGATGGGCCATTTTGTTGACCTATCATTTGTGACCAGGTCGCTTCTGAAGAAGATCGCTTGTGTTGCGGTCGAAACGTCGTGATTGATTTATTTTATTTTAATATAATTTCATGGTATTTCTATATATGTGACTTTACAAAAAAAAACAATCAGTAATTTATGCAGTCACGAAAGCTTTAATTCTTTATTAAGAAGTAAATACCTCAGCGGGCTCTGCCTGGTAGGATGGGGATGGTTTTGTGTTGTATTTGTATCTGTTTGGGTGAATTGTTTACCTTTCTCGTACTTTGCACTACTATCGTGTTTGTTGTACTGTTTGTTGTTGTAACGTTGTTACCCGCCTCTACTGGACATCTGTCAAAGAGCTTCATAGCTCATCAGATTCTTACAGTATAAGTAATTCTGATACTGTACATGAGCTGGTCTCTTCACTCGATGGCTGCTGTGGTTGTCCTCTTGGCCACGTTTTCTTCTTTGGCTGCAGTTCCATCACCACTCTGGTCCATCAGCCATCAGTAAATTTAGAGATGTCTTCTGACCAAGGCCACTTCCCTTAATAGCCAATACGAGGTCTATAACTTGCATTTATTCCTTGATCCATATTGTCTCAGTAAAACTCCCAAAATGCTCCTCTCCATACTTTGTGCACTTTTATGTTTCTGTTCAATATATTTTGTGAGTGCCCATGTTTCTGATCCATATGCCACAGCTGGTGATGTGAACTTATTGACATATCTCTTCAGGCATATTCCATTGTTGCCTCTGATGATCAATTTTAGTTTTGGGATATTTTTTTAAAAATAATGTTTTGATGTTTACGAGTCAAGAAGGCAATATTTGGCTGTATATTTACACATTTTTTTCAACTGTTGTGTGTTACCTTAAGCAGTTTCCTAATTATAATAGATTTACATTATAAAAGCTAGTGACACACACCAATAGGAAATGCGTGGGGAACCTGCTTTCTCCAGAATGTTCCCATTGTTGTGACTTACATTGGGGGGAGACCCATAACCAATTAGATTACCTGCTGTGCAATAAATTATTTCAAGGAAGCAGATGGATGGCGTGTACAATGCTGCACTTTAAACCTAATAAGTGTGAAATTACGCTGTTTTTTTCTATTTACATTGTAGTTCTTACATTTGAGGTATTTCAGAACTTTTATTTCTGTTCTGATTTTACTGCTTCACGTCTCGCAGTTTTCTTAAATAATCAGCAAGAATTTACGCAAATTAAATGCAGAACTGAATTCAACGTGGTTTTGTTATGCGGTTTATTCACTGCGCTTGAGCGTGTAGAACGGAATTTGAAGTCATTGTAAGAAATGCAATTCAAAATAATGCTAAAATCATCTCTTACTCAGTTTAGCCACAGGCTCATATTCGAAGCCAGGATATTAGCAATACCAGCTGAAGTGCTCTGACCTGTAAGCCACCCAGTCACCGTCTCACCAACAATTACTAAAGAATGTACCAAAAAAATATCCCACTGCAGATTGCTACGCTCACTCTGACGCTTCACCCCTTGCTCCCCACCCTTTCAGCCTGGTGCCTGAGGAGCGACGGCGTTAGCTCCGTACTGCTGGGAGCCTCCAAGGTGGAGCAGCTGCTTGAGAACCTGGGAGCCGTGCAGGTGGGATTAACATGAGCGAATATACATTTCTACATATATATTTTGAAATGTTAAATCATATATATCTTATCGCGATTGCATGTGGCAAGACAGACAAGATGAGGTCCAAAAAAACGAAAATACAGTCAAATGTTCAGCTTGAGAAGATCTCCATGGAGTCCAGGGAAATACCAAACCAGTCATTCATCAGTGCACTTGATGAATTACATGTGTACATGTAAATTTACTGCTGTATGACTGCGGGTCATCTCGCCAATGTGGTGTGGTGGTGAGATGTTAACTCCCTCGCCTGGTATGTCAGAGGTCATGGGTTCGATCCGGACCCTGACGGCTGTACATTAGGAGTTTGCACGTTCTCCCCGTGGTCGCGTAGATTTTTCTCCGGGTCCTCCGGTTTTTCCCTCCACATTTATAAACATGCGTTTAGAGTATTTGGCTGCTATAAATTTCCACGTGGCAAGCCACTTCGTTGAGCTATCATTTATTACCAGGTCGCTTCTGAAAAAAAACAGTATAGCTGTGTGGGCCTTACCTGGTAAAATTTAAAGTTAAAATTAGTTCAGTTGAATATTTGAGCAATCTGGTCAGTGTGAGATGGTGAAGGTGGGGACCATAGGTGTTGGAGCATAGAAATACAGTAAAACAATTGATTTTGTTTGTCTTGTGTTGTCCACTGCCTTTTGCTGCCCATCACATGCATCAACAATGCACGTAACGCGATGCATCATCAGTGGATGGCCATTGGTTGGCATTGAAATATGGGCTGTGCCCAAGCTGTAATTGCCCCTTTCCTGAAAGAGGCCTTCCGAGCTGCCGAAGGCGCTGTGACGAAGACGCCCCGTGTCGGGGCGGTGAACCGCGCTCACGACGCCGCGTTGTCTGCGGGTGTGCTCCAGGTGCTGCCCAAGTTGAACCCCCTCGTTGTCGCCGAAATCGACAACATCCTGGGAAACAAGCCGCAAGGGAAGCGCGAGAGCCGCACATAAGTCCGTGAACAGGAGTGGCGTTCACCCCCCGCCCGCCCCCTAACAGTAATGAAGACTTGGGATCGACATGGACCCTTAGTTTCCTGTTGCGAAACAATGTACCGTAACGGGGACTAAGCAGCTATGCAGGGAATGGACTGTTACACGTGTCTCCATTTTTTTTTTTACAAATAATTTTTAAATTTGTGATTTGGGTCATGTCGCTGGTATACCATAATGGGCGACAATGAGGGAGGCCTTTACCCAGTAGTGGGAAGTTACACACCGACAACAATAGCGGCTGGTACAGCAAGGCCTGCTTTTGTGAATCATATCACATTGCCCTTCTCTGTGAACACACACACAGTGCTGTATAGACATGTATGCAAGACATATATAAAGTTGTGCACCTATGCAGTTACTGCATACACAATGTACTTTTTTTAATACATGTAAAGCAGTATAAATGTGCCACATTTGTTGTATATTAAAAAAATGCCAAATTTTTAATATACAATAATATTGTGAACACATTTCCACGACGGACGGTCATAATGATCGTACTCACATATACACCAGGTTAACTAGTATTGACTGATATCATGCCCTGGTCACATAGTATGAAGTATACATGCTACATTTCACAACGGCGTTCCCCCCAAGAGGGGTTGTGTTAGGGGAAGGCTGTCAGCATGGATTAACTGTATTACCCTTGTTACAGGTGTGCTGATCCTTACCTAGTTTTCTGGCAGCAAGACACCACACTCACTATGCAATGGAAGCTGTTATTCGGATGCAGGGGTTGGAGGATGCAGAGAACAGAGAGCTCCAGAGCGATTTTCTATTGAACGATTTTTGAGCCTGGAGCACGTCGTAACAGGCGCTAACGGTTTGATGAGGTGCCTAGGCAGGACTCTCTCCCTGTTGAACGAACACCCAGATATGTACACAGCGCATTATGAGAACATGTAATTTGTGATATATTTTCCCATTTATCATCATCATCCTTTGCTAAAGAGGCTGTGGGTAATCACTGTAAACCAAATTTGTAATACTATTTAAGTTAGTGTAACTTTACGTAACTTTTCCTGAAGCATCTGCATGGGTACAGATGTAATTCTCAAGTGATCAACCACGTGGCTTTTTCTGGGTTACTCCCAGTTAATAAAAAAACCCCACTGAATTGGCCTGCCTGTAGTAGGCCCCCTCACCAACAGCAAAAAAAGGGAGAAAGTTGAAACATCCTATTGCAGGACCCTCTTTAATAAGAGTCGAGGTAACTCATTGGATTAATTGGTTTCAAGGACATTATTACCCCAGCACTGATAAGGCATGCCTATTCTTATGTATTCATGACATTACCATCAGTGGTAAGGTTAATCCCTCTGAAAGCACATTCAATTCAGGAATTACAGCACCACGTGCCCTGTGCTTCCAAGCGTGTTTATGCAAGCAGTGACAATGAAGGCATTTGTTTTAACTGTTAAAGGTCGTTTGTTATTCTGCTCGGACACTATTACTGGTTTCATGAATAAGTTAGTGCACATATACTGGTATGTTCATGTAAGCGTAACATACATAGCACTTGTGGGTGAGATTAAATGCAGTGGTCGCCTGCCCATCATATACATTATCCCATTTTAAAGAGTTGTATACAATTCTTAAGTTATATCGGAAGGGGCAAGGGACAGAATGGGCTCAGTCTTCCAATAAGTGAACCCTTGCTCTATTGATGCTCTCTTTTTTAAACAACTTGCCAGAATTATTGCATCTTTGATAGATTGTGCAGTAGTTGCAATTCGTAAACATTGTATGAGCTTCCAAGCAATTATTAGGACTCATGAATGCTGTTAATCCGCATTCCATGCAGAAATACACTTGCAGCAACACATACATGCGGCGTATTAAACCTCCACGTTTTTTTATAACCTGATGAGCACATTATTAAGATATTGTACAATAATACGATTCATTTGGGATGTTTACATGATAGAGTTGGCTGTGGGATTGTGGGCTAAAGAATCGTCGTGTAGATGTATGGCTATGAATAGGAATGAACCCTTACAATGTGCCTGTGGTTATCCGACCCATGCAATTGAATAAATATACGGCAATAAGGCCTTGTAGCATGTGCACAATACACCGTTCACTTATAGTGCATACTGTATATGGTTTCCATAATGCAGTGTATATAATAAATTCCTGCTGTGGCATGATACATGTTGGGTTAATGTTATTTAACAATTTAAATCAATTTATGCATTTTGAGTAAGCATGATCATTTAATATCGCATTACCTCTGTTATGTACAATGAAAGATGATACATTGCTCAGATTTTTCACAAAGAATGTGTAATATGCTAAAACACATTATCCAGACGTAATATTATGGATACAATAAAGAAAACGACGTAATTATGTATATGCAATTACCCTTTGCTTTATATTAGTCGTGTAAACATGCAGAGTGATGGTCATGGCTAGGTATGTATTATGCTCTGTTTTGTATACAGGATGTATATAAAGGACTGTAAATGTGTTTGAATTACAGTATGCAATATGTCAATAGTATATATTATTAAAGAAGGCCCATTGACCAAATTTTTTTCTGCGTTTTACAATACAGTACTATAAATTGATTGTTGTGGCAAGATGTTAACTGCCTCGCGTGGTATACAGGAAGGACATGGGTTTGATCCCGACCCTGACGCTTGCTGGATATTTGAAGTTTGCGGTGTCTCTTTCTCCGTGGTCGCGTGGATTTTTCTCCGGGTCCTCCGGGGTTTTCCCTCCACATGTAGAATCAACATCACGCGTTTAGAGTATTTGGTTGCTAGACATTTCCACGTGATAAACCACCTCGTTCAGCTATTATTCGTGGCCAGGTCACTTCTGAAAACAAGCTATATAGCTCAGGGGGCCTTACATGGTAAAATAAAATATATATACGATATAATAACAAATGATAGTCCTGTATCAATCAACTGCTGGATGAAGATCTCTCTCCATGCATGTCGGAGTTTGGCCATATTTCAGCAGCTGTTGTGCGCCGTACAATGTCCCTATCTATATCTGGCCACCACAGCAGCTGCTTTTTCGTATGAAGTAACACTCTGAAAACAAATACATTTGCAAGTAATTTTTTTTCCCACCCATTATTTTATTCAGGTCAGATACTATATGGTAATTTAATTAAACAATGAAACCCATGGGGGATATATATATTTGCTTAACAACAAAACTATCGACAAGATTTCCCATTAAAGGGGACTTTATATTTGCCAAGCGACCAAACAAGTTCAATAGGTGCTCATTATCAGCCATGGTCAATCCACTGCTGGATGAAGGTGTTCCCCCATCGTCCCACGGCCTTACGATGCCCTAATCCACCCTACTTCTACTAACACGAAATCATTTCATCGCTCCATCTCCACGGTAGACGTGCTCTCGGAACGCATCCCGCTTATTCGCCTTGCTCTCCCCTCCCCTCATTATTCCAGAGACGTGTTCAAACCAAGCGCATTTACAATGTTCGCTTTTTGGGGTTCTCTGGTCGAATACTGGCAGTGAGACTAAGGCCCTAAAAGAAGGCTGTCTCTGGTGTAGAACAATCAGTTTCAAAGACAATGCATCAATATTACCAGCGCATGTTTTTGTTTGCACCACAATATCGCTGTGGTCAATGCAGACATGATTCCTTGCAAAAGGTTTTTGTTTGGTGTTGGAACATCTTGACACCTGTTTTATTGCCGGAAATTATAAAAAAAAAACATTCTTATGTTTTTGCACTTACAATTCTTCGGACTTGGTTGAAAAGACCTTTCTTCATCTAGTAGTGCGTAGATGATGCTCGTCGATATTAATCAATGGCATCCTCAACACCCCGAATCTTCTACGCTGGGAAACTATAGGTGTTAGGATGAAAAATAAAGTCATACGTATAACGAAACAACCGTAAGCGTTGTTGTGGAGACATTTAAATATAGTAAATAAGTAGTGTCTCCTTCATATATATATCTATCTCTCCGCACATCGTAAAGTATAGGTGTCAACCCATACATATCAAGCAAGCATCAGCATGCAATATCTCATACAGTATAGCACAAGTATAAATAATTGACACCAATGATCAAAATTAATACATAAATCAGTTTTTGTTTAGTAACATCATTTTTTTTTACTCTTTGTGTTTCTCCCTTGTGATGGGACTTTGTAGGATGAACGTTGAGATTTACAAGGGGCACGGGGTGACCAATAAGGTCTGAATTGGTTTGTAATAAGATAGTACAGCGATGGTAAAGAGTGGGTTAGATGGGCATGAAACCCGACACTGCTGATGGGTCTAAGACAAAGATCCCGCCGTATATACGCCTTAACAAGACTTTCGGAGCAAGTGCTGTTGCTGTTATTTCAGCATTAATCGATGCATCGATATACTGAATATTCTTAAATACATTTATTTAGTTATAGAGGGAAGTACCAGGCGTTGCCCGGGCGAAAAAGACAGAAACACACATCGACTTACACACAGACATCTACCCACACACATAGAAACACATCGACTTACACACATAAGGACTCGCACAGACAGACATCGACTTTAGACACACACACATGGAGTTACACACACACATCGTCTCACACACACACATAGATAGACTCACACACACATGGATCTACACACTACACACACATGGAATTACACACACATCGATTCACACACACACACATCGACTCACACACACACATCGACTCACACACACACACATCGACTCACACACACACATCGACTCACACACACACACATCGACTCACACACACATCGACTCACACACACATCGACTCACACACACACACATCGACTCACACACACGCACATCGACTCACACACACATCGACGCACATTTAGCTCCTGTAAATTTCCACAAAAGCCACTTTGCTGAGCTATCATCTGCAGCCAGGTCGCTTTTTAAAAATAAGTTAATACCTTTGTGGGCTTTACCGTGTAAGATAAAAAAAATGTATAGCTTAGTTTAACTTTATACTTTTTAGTGATCTGTTTACCTTTCCTATACTTTGCACTCCTATCGTGTGTTTTTTTTATTATTTGTTGTCACGCTCTAACCCCGTGCCCCGACTGGACGTCTGTGAAAAAGAGCTTAATAGCTCATCGGATTCCTCCAGTAGAAATAAATAAATATTTCTGATTCGTGCTTCATGAGGGGTTAGTCAGTTTAACACGTAGGCTTTCGCGACCAATATAATCCATAATACAGGATTGAAGCTTTCGTGACTGCAGGAATTACTATACTATTTCGGTAAGGTCACGTATGTAGAAATATACATACGTAACTTTACCGAAAGAACCAATGAGTATAGTCAAAATATACATACGTGACTTTACCGAAAGAACCAATGAGTATAATAGAAATATACATACGTGACTTTACCGAAAGAACCAATGAGTATCCATAATACAGTATATTTACATGATATAGCCCAAAAACCCCATATTATTCATGAGGGGCTTTCCCGCGTAAAACAGCTACGCTAATATTTGCCTGCGTCATCACGCACGCGTGACGTAACCACGTCGTAACTTTTCCACCGATTGCCATTGCCGCAAAACTACGTGACGTCATCACGCAGCACGCCTCCCCTGCGTGCGCGCTACGCGCGTCGTCGAACGCATCCGTTTGGCGCGTGCGCGTAAAAAAAAAATTCGTACGTAATCGCCTGTCTACGTCATTACGCACGCTCGGTGACGTCATCTTTTTCTCAGGCAACGCGCTTGTGATTGGTTGACTTCTTGCCCGTGACGTAATCACGCATCGTCGTCGGCTGCACCCGCCCCTTTATAAGGCCGTCACGTGGACCGACGCTCTCCTTTCCCCCCGCACTCGAAGCAGTAGGCGCGATTCGTGTGCGCTCCCCTCCACACAGAGACTCAGAATAACTCTTCCCGTCTTCTTCCTCACAATACTTCCAACATGGTGAAGGCAGCCAAGGTGAGATGTCCGCGCGCAGCTGTGCTGCGGCGGCTTTAGAAGAGCGGAGAGACGCGGGGCTACCGCGAGGGGAGGGGGCGGATGGACGCCATTGCCGCCATTTCTGTTTGGCGCAAACAAGGATCCTTCGCTCGCCTGTTCCGAGACTTGTCGCGTTTGGCGAGATGAATCTTAATTGTTCGACGTTGCCGTTGTTTTACGTTTTCGTTGTATTCGCGTTGCTCGGTCGTGGCGACGGCTGGCGGCGTTGGGAAGCTTGATGCGTGGCGGCAAGGGTAGAGTGGGTGGGGGGAGAGAGGCCTAGGCCCTCATCACGCAACAGAAGTGAAATCGCGACGCTCGCTCCGTTGTTGACTGAACGCGGCCTCGCAACGCGTTCGCTTCTTGTTCACGCGCAGTTGCAGAGTGCTTATAGACGTGGCTTGAGCCGTCGTCTGCGCTGTTCGCGACGTTTAAGCGCTGACCCCCCCCCCACCCGCCCCCCACGTGGGTGAGGCCTCGACGCTGGTTCGGATCCTGGGACACGTGTCGGTGTAACGGCACGTGAGCGCAACATTGACGGGGCTGATGATTTGCTCGAGTTGTACGGTTATCGGCCGTGGTTTTTGGCTTGACGGCGCATGTTTTAGACATAACGGGGTTGAAATGTTAGCGGCGTGGCCGACACGTGGCGAACACGGCCCCCCCTGGACGAACACGTGCAGAGCAAATGGCGGCTTACGGGAGAAGACCCACGTTTATCGGTTGCGTACTTGGACCTTTTAGCGCTTAAATCTTAAGTGACTGACATTTTTAATGAACTTGATCAATATTGTTAGTCCTTGCCTTTGGAGAGACTTTCTGCTGTTCGTGCAGTTTTAACGTAAGTTGGACTTTTTTGGCCACGTGCTTGTACAGTGCCTTGGCGAAACATGTGCTCGCTAAGTGTACTGTCCCCCGAAGTGCTCATTAATGAAAGCCGATGACTTTTCAAGTATAGTTTTAACAGTATAAGTATTTACTATTTTTTTTACTAAAAAGCAAGACTAATATTTAGATTTTTTTGTAAAAAATTCAAGTTTTTACGATAAACTGTTTTGCCTTTAATTTTTTAGTTTTATGTACTGGTAAACTATTTTTGCCTGGTTAGGTTGCCGGAAGTTAAATTTATGCTGCTAGATGTCTAACTTTTTTTAAACTTGACATTCTCAAAAATGCGTTATTTGCACTTGCCTGTTTATTTTAAGAGTAAATTGTTTGGAATACACTAACAATTATTTAACGCGGTTGTAACGGTGACTAATCACCGAAATACTGTACTGCTTTAAATTTGAGGCGCATGGGAGGCACATGTGGGACTATTACATTTAGACACCTACGTTGGCTTCTTTCCCAGCGTACGTCCCCCATAGTGTCCTCAATAACTGGGGGGTTTCACCCCTGTAGAGAATGGGTGACTTAACCGCCGTCACGCGCGTGTGCCTTGCAGGCAACTCCTGTGAAGAATGGCAAACCTCAGAAGAAGGCGCCACCTCCGCCCAAACAGGTGGATGAGTCGAGCGAGGAGGATGACTCCGAGCCAGAGGTAAGCGCCCACGTGGAAGCAGCCCTATGCCACAGCTTGAGTTGTCGGTGACAAATTGCATTAAAAGTTTTTTTTTAAGTTAATCGAATGAATGTAAGCCTTGGTGCATTGTTGGTGGAATGGATTTTAAGTGTCCTTTTGAGATGTAATATTTTCCGCATTTGTATTCCTACCTTACATTTTTGGTGTTAAATCACATGGGCAATGCATACTGGCTGCGTGTGCAGTATACAAAGGGTGGTATCTTGCAAATCGAATTGGAGGCACGTGTGATGAGTAGTTCAAGGGACTTAATTCTGACTATTGATGATGGAACTTACTGATGTGCCTGCTTACCATTCACAAATGTTCAAGTGCTGCCTACCTGACCGTGCCACCAAGCTGGCCTGTCTACACATTAACATGTAACCTTGTAGCAGTTGAGTTGATCAATTAAAGTCGATTCTTACACTGACGGTGCTAGGCTTGATATATGCAGACAAATTTTAGCATGACCAATGCGACCTTGGCAAACACAAACCACTGCGCTGTGCAGGTCCCTGTGAAGAAGGCAACACCTCTGCCGAAAAAGGCTGCTGCCAAGGTGACGGTGAAGCAGGCGTCTGAGGACGACAGCGAGGAGGAGGTGGTACGTATCACTTTGCGGCTATTGCACAATTAATTATGTTAATCCCAATTTATTCGGTGTCTTGTTGAGCACTACTGGCTCAAATTATTTTCGTTTCCCATAGCTGAGGCCTGTGTGGTAGCAATCGTTCAAATGCCTGGTGTCAGTGGTAAATGATGTATGAACTGCTTCCTGCGAACCCCACTCTTTTAAACTGTTTACCAGCATGGTTTACGATGGTCAAACAATCTCCATGAAGGGCATGGTGTGGGGAGGGCTTCATTTGTGCATTGGCAAAAGGGAATTGCGTGAAGAATGGTTGATGTAATTACAGTGGGGAATTTGACATTGTGCACTTGAAATGATGATGGCTAGAACAATCCTAAGGAGACAGAACCATTTAGATGTTTGTTTTTTATGACTTGCTCTTTCAGGTGGTTCCTGCCAAGAAGGGCAAGCCTGCTGCCAACAGTAAGGCCGTGGCAAACAACAAGCCGGCTGCCAAGAAGGCAGCACCCAAGAAGGCCGAGAGCTCCGAGGAGGAGTCGGGTAAGTGTGCAAGAGTTATTGCTCCCCGCTGTGAGTGCATCGGCATATCTCTGACCATCACATTTTCTTTGGTTCTTTCGGTAAAGTCACGTAGAATGAGAATAAAATAATAAATTCATCAAATAAAATAACACAATAATATTCTCACGACGTTTCGGCCACAACACAAGCGGCCTTCATCAGGTGAAGGGACGAGACTGTCTGGTAGGACAGCGCTGGAGTGAAAGAGCCACGTTCAGATCAAGTTGAGGCTTAAAGGTTGTGATCTGAACGTGGCTGTTTCACTCCAGCGCTGTCCTACCAGACAGTCTCGTCCCTTCACCTGATGAAGGCCGCTTGTGTTGTGGCTGAAACGTCGTGAGAATATTATTGTGTTATTTTATCAATTTATTATTTTATTCTCATTCTTACGTGACTTTACCGAAAGAACCAAAGAAGATGAATCATTGCAGTCACGAAAGCTTTAAATCGAAATTCACATTTTCCTTAGGAATTTACTTAAAGTGCTCGCAATCATTGGTGCCTTTTTTCCATGGCAGTGGCCATTTACTTTTGACTTGTGGCCCTTAAGGTAATAATTGTGTTCTGCCATTGGCAATCTATATGAACCCGCAGATGAGGATGATGATGAGGAATCCGAGGAGGAATCCGAGGAGGAGGAGGCACCACCGCCACCAAAGAAGACTCCTGCTAAACCAGCAGCCAAGGCCACTCCCGCCAAGGCTACTCCTGCCAAGGCAACACCTGCCAAGAAAGCACCAGCTGCTGACGATGACGAAGATGAGGACTCTGAAGGTAGTTATGCGCATGCAAATCCATTTGCAAGTCTGCATCTCCCTGCACAGCCTTGCACCAACTAGTTAACTACATCATTTTGTGCGTGCCAAGCCTTCAGCTTTATATGCATGCACATGCATGCCTTGTAAAGATGGTTTCCACTTAATGCACGCAAAGGAAGGGCATGACAAAATCTCTGGTTGGCCATTCTTAGTTTTATGTGTGACTGCAGTAGAATGACTGCCGAATACTTTGCTTAACACTGCAATTCCTCATAAGTGCAGAGGGGGATAGGAAGATATGTGACTGCAATGGCACCTCAATTTTGGCTTGTGCTTTGTCCACTAGATGGCGTGCAAGGTTAACATAAGCATTGCACTTCTATCTGAAATGGTGGACAGTGGCATGCATCTTTTTGGCATCTTTATTCTCGCCCTTGATGTTTATGCATTACGTTGGCTTTACTGTTGGCCTGTATTGTGGTGTTTTTATGAAAGTAAGTGGTATTTTGTTGAATTTACATTCCTAAAAATAAACTTCCTCAAAATAGAGGCAAGTTCTTGTAAGGAGTGAGTTGATGGTTCTGGTCACAAATAACTGCGTTAAAGTATGAATAGTGCAAGTAATTAATTTATGAACTCTTTACTCATGTAGCTGTGCCAGGAGTTACTTCGGGGTCCTGATGGGTATGACCTTTGTGCCTCTTGCACAGATGATGAAGAAGATGAGAAGCCAGTGGCCAAGAAAGCAGTAGCTGCCAAGGCCACTCCCGGCAAGGCCACTCCCGGCAAGGCCACACCTGGCAAGGCCACACCCGGCAAGGCCACCCCAGCTAAGGCCACCCCAGCAAAGGGCAAGCCGGCAGAATCCGATGACGAGGAGGATGAAGATGAGGATTCGGAGGAGGAGTCCGATGAGGAGATGGACGTGACCCCTGCGCCTAAAGCCAAGGGTGCTAAGGCAAAGGAAGAGTCTGAGGAAGAGGATGATGATGAAGAGGATGATGATGAGGATGACGAAGAGGATGATGAAGATGCCGATGGTGAGTTAAATGCTGCAGTGGTACAAATAGTTAAATAATTGAATCTTTAATATTTAACCAATGTTATTTGGGTAACTTTTGTATCAACCATGTGGTGGCTGTATGCTATTCTGGGGATTGGACCAACCTCTACCGAGCCACGGTTCCTGATTACGCAGATCGGAATGGGCTTTGCGCTTTATTCAGTCATTACCTGTGTGCTTCCCTTCTCCTTTTTGAGCACCGGGCTGTAACTGGGCACGTGGAAACCCCACTTGCCCGGTGATGGCAGCTCTGGTTTCGCAGGAGAAGGAGACGAACGCTCAGCACAAAATCACCACGGCGGTGTCAGTCGGACCTCTTTCTTAATGTCCTGTGGCTGCCTGCTGCCATGGTGCTGTGCCACATTTAGCAACTGATGCCGTATTGAATTTTGTAGCACAAATGTTCTTGTCGTTCTGTTACACATTACTTGGGCACATTGCCAAATGAGTGGTGGAAGTCAAATTGTGTTGTGTAAAATGCACTTCTGCTGTTGCTCTGTCGGTACAGAACCTCCACCCAAGGCCAAGGCAGAGAAGCGAAAGAAGGAGGAAGACAAGGCCACCTCTGCATCCAAAAAACAGAAGGTTGATGCTGGTGATAAGAAAGGTATTATACTGTGATGTTCTTGACTTTCTCTTGGCAACTGTGCGAATGAGACTTCTAAATACTGGAATGTGACCTATTACTGCACAGATTCCACACATTTTGTACCATCATATGGAGTGGCAAAGAGTGGGGGGGCTAGTTGGTCCTATGTACCCAGTTGTAATTTATATCAAAATGATTGCAAATTGCGTTTCAGCCTCTGGTGCTTAACTGGTTGTATTGGGCTGGTCATCTTTTATTGACAATTTGTCTTGATAATTTTCTTGGAAGTTAACCACACGTGTTTTGTTTACAGAACGTGACGCCAAGACTCTATTTGTGAAGAACATCGCATGGTCTTCGACGGTGGAAAGTCTGACGGAGGCTTTTGAGGGAGCTGTTGAAGTGCGGATTCCACTGGGCCCCAATGGCAAGAGCCGCGGGTAAGAATTGGGCATAATGTACCTTTTTTTAATTAAAATCCACGGCAGTGCTCTGTAACACACATTGGTGTAATCCAAAGTTTTGTAGGCATGGCCCATTGGCTCACTGAGCCAGCTGCCTGCCAAAATAAATTATGGACAATTGAGCAGCTATAATTATGCAGGATGTGGAACAATCCTGTCATGGGGCCTGCACAGACCACCACAATGCAGTGACTGTTGATACAAACTACTGTTCCCAAGCCAGCCGCCCGCCACAATCCCAGTCAGTCCCATTGACTGGAGATTGTCCAGTGGTGGCTAAGAGCAGTGACCAGGGCAGGAAACAGGGAGCCCCCTTTCACCCATGGGATACCCTGTGCCGAAACCCCGGCTACAAGAGTGCAACTCTGCAGATTAATTTATTGAGTTGAACTTTGAGAAGTATCAGAGCTCATTATCGATGTAAATCTCCATGCTGGGAAAAGGAGCGTCCATAAGGCCATATGGGCAAATTCAGCTGGGATGCACCCAATTTTGTCACTTGTTGGAAGCTGAGCAGGGTGGATCCTGGGAAGTTGGATGGGTGACCACCATGCCTAAAACATGAGGTAGTCTAGGCTCCTATGTATGGGGCTATGTTGTCAGGAGAGGCAGATTTAGCAAAATGTGTCTCCAGCCCCCACTAACCAGTGTGGTAATGTAAGGTCATCCAGCAGTGTATGTACAGAAATGGCTTATTGCACTTTGGAGAGTCGATCGAGCATGTTTGTGGCTGCCCGTTGCAGGATCGCGTACGTGGAGTTCCCCTCGGAGGAGGACGCCGAGGCGGCCATGAAGGAGTACCAGGGTGCCGATGTGGATGGGCGCGCGGTCCTCCTCGACTATGTCGGGGATAAGAGCAACAAGGGTGCGGGGCAGCAGGCTGGCTTCGGAGGTAACGCAGTGCACCACCCCCCCCCCTTCCAGCGTTGAGCCACGCACACATTTGTCACGTGGCCCAGTGTGCTTGTAACGTAGTTGTTTCAAGAGTTTATGCAAATGTCACGGCTGTCCCAGCTGTGTGGGTACCACGTTATAGGAGATTGGCATGAAGACGCAACTATTAAAAACCCATACTTGGCAGTTGTAACCTGGACTGTTGCATCCAACACGAGTTTGAGGTATTCGTAGTTGATTCGGGAGCACTTTGCAGGGACATTGTCGCAGTACATAAAACGTTGCATGTCAGACACTATGTAACGGAATCGGTCAGTGCTCTGCCATAGGGCCTGGACAGACCTCTAGTACAACATTGTGACTACTTGGTGAAAATGACGTGTTGAGGTAGCCGCCCGCCACAGTCACAGTCTCACACCCTTTGACTGGCGATTGTCCAGTGGTGGCTAAGATCAATGTCCGGGGCAGGAAACAGGGAGCCCCTTCAACCCATGGGAGGCCCTGTGCCGAAACCCCGGCTACACAACGTGTGTACGTCTATCATAGCAACGTCTTTTCACGTGGCAAAGGTTGCCAATGGCTTTCGTGCTTGGACGCAGTTAGCCTCCAAGCATAGGTTTATGAATTTGAGGTTGTACCTCAGCTCGCCATTCTACTGCTCAATTCATTACAGGTCAAAATTAACTTTCTGAACGCATTATCCAAGTTGATTGTATTGCTTTAAATCAAACACTAGTTTCCCACTATAGGTATGGTGTTGTGTAAAAGACCCACATTTTGCTGCATCAGACACTCGCGTTTATGCAAGCCTTATTTGGTCATAGCTATAACTATGGTGTTGTCTATCCTCTCAGCAAAGCCACAGGGCCCTGAGAGCAACACGCTCATGGTGCGGAACCTGTCCTTCCAAGCGGACGAGGACTCTCTGCGATCGGTGTTTGAGAACGCTGAGGCGGTGCGTGTGCTGATGGACCGCGAAACTGGCAAGCCCCGTGGGTGAGTCTTCCTTCACATGCACCTGTCGTGACATCCATCCCCTCGTGATCAACGTCATTGTAATATCCCATATTTAGTGCACTGCTGCTGCCATTGTGTACTAGTAATGCGGTGCACATTGCACGTGGTTGAAGGTGTGTAATGCAGATTATGCCATTTTTGCTTGAGCTGACTCCGTTGTGTGTAATGAGTGCATCGTTGTGCTAAAAGGGCATGTCTGCCGAAGGCTGGAAATTATGAATATTTGAGCTGAATCTTATGAAAAAAAATTAGTCGTACTGATCCAGTAATTTTTTTTTAAATGTGGAAATTCTCATGTCCAGTTGGCCAAATCGTTTACTTCAGATGCAAGCAAAGATCTTGAAATATTCCACTTGTTTCCTGGTTGGTGGGCTACTGAGGCTTTGTCAAGTCTTCCTTTAGAACGCGATTGTGTTGGTATTCAGTAGGCTGCAGCAGGCATAATGTGGCGTTCTTCCTGCTTGACCGGGGTCTCGTCCTTGCATGTTTCCCCGTGATGTGGCAGGATGGCATTTGTGGACTTTGCAAGCATTGATGATGCCAAGGCGGCGATGAAGGCGCACAGCGGTGCCGAGGTGGAGGGCCGTGCCATCCGCCTGGAGTTCAGCACGCCGCGTGGCACGCCCGGCCCCAGTGAGAAGCCGCACAGCGTTGTAGTCCTATCCTCACTCGCTCACCGGCTATTGTGCTTTCACTCTTGTTTAGACCGCAAGCTGTCGATCGGACCACAGACACTGCTTTCTCAATGCAGGAGAAAATTTGTAAAATGTTAATGGAAATGTATATTGCAAGGCAGAGGGCAGGTTTGTTAATAGAATGGTGTAAGGCAGTTCTCTTAATTCATTTTCTTCTGGGCCATAAAATTGGCATGTGGAATATCATTTGCTATATACATTATGATGGCTGGTTTCTCCCATTGGCTTCTTGTCGGGGGAAATAGACAAGCATCTTATTGCAAAGACCCTTAAAAATCCTGAGGCTTGGGCTTTTCTAGATTGAACATGCTTGTTTAGGCCTGTCGGCACTGGTGAGATGTTGGGTGTTTTAACACCTGTGTAGCTAAAACTAGCTGTATAAGCTGAGCCAGCCGCCCGCCACAATCCCGGTCAAGTCCTATTGACCGGAGATTGTCCAGTGGTGGCTAAGAGCAGTGACCAGGGCAGGAAACGGGGAGCCCCTTTACCCATGGGAGGCCCTGTGCCGAAACCCCGGCTACAAAAGTATCAATGGCTTGCTTGGTAGTGGGTTAACTAAACGGCTGGCATATGTACAGTTACTTCTGCTCCACACTGCCAACTTGATGTAGTTTGCCGCTTTTATCATTTTGAGTGTTGTTCCACCTTGATTATGCCGGGGGAGCACTTTTTCCAGCTGCCAAAGTAATGTAAATTATGAGTAGCCTCCACAAAGGCTGATCTACACACGCACACACCCGTGTCTGTACACAGGCATGTTGGTAATGGTTGACACTGTGCTGGGTGGGATGCAGGTGAAGCGAGCAGCACGCTGTTCGTGCGAGGCTTGGGCGAGGACACCTCTGAGGACACGCTCATGGACTCGTTTGAGGGAGCCACGGCTGCACGTATTGTCACCGACAGGGACTCAGGCCAGTCCAAGGGGTATGTGTTGTGCATTGCTGTTGCTCTTTTGTCCTCTTTCCCCACTGGACCTAAAATCTGGACCTTCATTTTCACTGCATGCCTCCCCTTCTAGTTAGTAAAATCAGAATAAGCTTGTGCTTTATTCAGTCATTACCTGTGTGCTTCCCTTCTCCTTTTTGAGCACCGGGCTGTAACTGGGCGTTTGGAGACCCCACTTGCCTGGTGATGGCAGCTCTGGTTTCGCAGGAGAAGGATATGAATGCTCAGCACAATCAACCACGGTGGTGTCAGTCGGACCTCTTTCTTAATGTCCTGTGGCTGCCTGCTGCCATGGTGCTGTGCCACAGACCCATTAGCCGTGTTGTACTGTTGCGTTCTTGGATATGCATTAATATACCAGAACGTTGCATAACTGCACATGTCATTGATCTGATATGACATGTATTGTTTTCGAAAGGTTCCTCATAGAGCAAACCTAGAATACATCATTCTTTATGAGGATGTTTATAATCCAAGTGTCTGCTCATGGATATCTTGCTTTTGGTTTGTTTTGAGGGCCTTTTCATCCGCGTTGACCAGTGTGTGTTTGTGGCTGCTCTAGGTATGCCTATGTGGACTTCAGCTCTGCGGACGAGGCCAAGTCTGCGCTGAACGCCATGAAGGGTGTGGAAATCGACGGCAGCCAGATCTACGTGGACTTCGCTCGTCCCAAGGGCTCGACGCCAGGCCGTGGTGGTGGAGGCCGTGGTGGTGGCTTTGGCGGCAGGGGTGGTGGAGGCTTTGGCGGTCGCGGTGGAGGCTTTGGTGGCCGTGGTGGTGGTGGATTTGGCGGGGGCCGCGGTGGTGGCTTCAGGGGGGGCCGCGGAGGCGGTGGCTTCAGGGGAGGTCGTGGTGGTAGCAGTGGTAAGTCTAGTGTATTATGGTCTTGGTCTATAGTCGATTGAAATGTAGTTGAACCGATACATTTTTAGACATGCGTTTCTGATTTACTGTAATACATCCAGCCAGCTGGCACTTTAGTAGTGTTTTAACGTAGTTGTATTGAGTTAAAATCGAAGTGCAGGGTTGGACTGCTCTTGATCCTGGGGTTCATTAGGGTGTTTTTTTGGGATGTCACCGAAGGCTGCACAACAGACATTTGAACAAGTGTGTCAAATATTTTATATTTTTAAATTTGTTGGGTTCTGCAGTTGAACTAAACCTATTATGCCTGACATTGTTTTTCAGGAAGGAAGGATGGCATCCAGGAGTTCAAGGGCAAGAAGATGACTTTTGACAACTGAAATTAACGTGTGTTTTTCTCCATATTTCGCTAAAAGTTATAAAATGGACATTTTGCGCGCTCACACTCGCGCGCAGGACAAAAGGGGTGGATGGGGACTCAGGTCTGGCAGTGCCACGATGCTGGGGCCTGGCAGTCACGCACCATTCCACCAACGCAAAACCATCCACCCCACAATCCCACTCAATGCGCCCCCCCACACCACCAAGTGTGCATTGCAGCCCTTTGCTTGTCGCCATCTGGCTGCTAGAAAAGTCCTGGGGGGGGGGGGGGGTCTATTTACATTTAATCTTAGGGCCTCAAAATTGATTAGTGCAGTGCCTTTTAAAATACATTGGGACAAATGGTTATCCTGACTGGTTTTTAGCTATACTGCATGGGCCCATTTATGGCCCATAATTCTACTGTAAAATAAACATTTCAAGATTTTTCATTTTCTGAAATTGCATTTCATAATGGACGTTTCACGCTTTATGTAAAAAAATGCCCCAAATAACCGTTCATTGTGGTACATCGGTTTGATAGTTTATAGTCCTGAAACATTGGCATCTTAACCCAACAGCATCTGGCCATAATAACACGTTCCAAAGGGTGGATGTTTTTGTCACTGATGAATGGCGTTATAAAACTTTTTTGCCCTGCGCCCCTTGTTGGACCCCTTTAAACAAATTATTAGACGTTGCTGACGTGGAAATTGATTCGTTGGGCACCATGAGAGTTCCGCCTGGCTTGGAGACGTGTGCTTGTGCACATGAGGCTGGAGTCTCGAAGCCGTGATTGGAACATTTTTATCCTGAAGCCGCCTCCTGTAGTCAATTTGCATATAAAGTACTTGTGTGTGTGCTTTTTGTTAAGTGGTTATTATTTTTTACTTGTAAATATGAGTTTCTGTAGTTGCTCATTGTTTCTAATTTGTTGACAATGTAACGAAAATGCCACCTGTATTTTGGTAATATCCAAAATGTGCAGTTGCAGGTTTCTGAAATAAACTCAATAACTCCGCTCCCTCCCCCTTATCATTTATTACATGTCGAGTAGATGTCGGCTGTGAATTGTGCTGGTTTCTAAGGTTGAATTAAGTTGCTGGACAGTCCTAACTGCCATAAGCGTTTGGTTGTTGGCCATAACCATAATCGGTTGCTTGTCAATGTTAAATATTGGTTATTACAAAATTACAATGTCCAGAGTTTGTACCATCCGAGATCAACCATCCGATTAAATGATGCGTAAAACTATTGTGATTCTGAAATTATTTCAGACGTTGCGTCGTTTGATTTCCGTAACGATGAGTCGTAAACAAAACAATTTTATGTTCTGTTCGGATGCCATTTAGAATATAGTTTGAGCGATCTGCTCGCAGACCTTGAAAACGATAATGCAATAATAGAAAGCTTTGCGACATCCATGGATTGTGAAGATTACGAGGCTTAGCTGTGCCACATGCAAACGTGTGGTCTTGCCCTAAAAATGCCGCTGATCAAGGTTATGCGCCTGTTGATGCTTGTTTAATAATTACCCAGCACATCTAGATACCAGTGAATGTCATCAGGTTATTGTGCTTTAAATGTGTATGCCACTTGGGAGCTAAAAGCTGCATTGCAAGGTTCACAACCAATTTCATTTTTTCCTCGCCCCTAGTTGCAGTCGGCAAAAAGGGGCAAACGAAGAAACCGGTTTTGTTAGAAAATACAGAAATATCCAAAAGAGCGAATTGTATTTTGTTTGAATGCGTTGAGTTACTTGACAAAGCAGTGGCTGAAGCAGTCGAATCAAGTGCTATGTTTGCAGGTTACTGCTACTTCCTTTCTAAACGTTAGCTATTTTGTTTTGCATGTGTACCATTTTTTTAAAAAGGTGAAACATGTAAAGTAGAACACATGCTTTTGTGATTCGTCATTATTTTACATATTAAAGTATAGTCCCCTATTTGAAACTTGCACATTGTAATTTGTACCTTGTTTTAACGAGTGTTTTATATTTTTGAACACTAACTCATTCTTTTGAAATATACACTACCGGATCTGCAACGTATCTGCACCATTCATTGGTTCAATTGTAAATGCCCTTACGACAGTATTCATCTGCACAGCATGAGGGGGAACCATTTACCACTGGCTGCAGAGTAGTCTGCAGCACGGTTAGCTCTGTACTTTACGAAAGAAGTTCTACATGCATTCTGCCATTGATGCATCCCAAGAGATTTGCATCTCACGATTGTGGTCCAGTTTTCAGCCCCATACAGTATTCAACTTAAGACTCCAGCCTGTGCCATGCTCCATTATTGGAGCCGTGTCCATTCTGTACCCTGGGGCTACGGTTTGTAATGCGCCTCTGGGAACTTTAGGTTGTCCAGTGCTCTGCTCTGGGACTAGGCTATGTACTATGCTTTTGTTCCACTGGTACAACAGTCTGCAATGCTCCACTGGGACTGGAGTATGCAGTGCACCACTGGTGCTGAAAATAAACGCTTCACTATGGTCCAGAAGTCTGCATTGCTCCACTTTAGCATCGTCTGCAATGTTCCACAATTTTGATTTAAAGCTTTCGTGACTGCAGGGATTCGTATTCTTGGTTATTTCGGTAAAGTCACGCAGAAGGGAAATAAAAATATAAAACAATAAAATTATCACGACGTTTCGACTGCAACATAAGCAATCATCATCAGGTGTGAAAACCACAAGAAAATTTGAAAAGTGGCGGTTTTTTTTTCATGAGGCTATCTACATATACAAACAGACAATTTCAACCGAGATGGATTCTGGCTTAGCAATCATTGGAAGGATTTGATAAACCATTTCGGGTCTTGATTGATCACGCTTAAGGTGGCTTTCAGACCGCATCCATTATTTTCGTCTCCCCCCTCTTTTCCGAACATAGATGGACTCGTCCATCTGAACAAACTCAAATCGCTCTCCGTGGTGCTAACGTTATAAACCGCCACTTTTTTTTTCAAGTTTTCTTGTGGTTTTCACGCCTGATGATTGCTTGTATTGCAGTCGAAACGTGAAAATTGTATTGTTTTATATTTTTATTTTATTGTTTCCCTTCGTGACTTTACCGAAAGAACCAAGAATATGTTCCACAATGTTAGAGCAGTCTGCAATGCTCTATTATGGTACAGCAGTCTGTGCAATGATTTACTGGTATAGCAGTCTGTGCAATGATCCACTGTGGTACAGCAGTCTGTGCAATGATCCACTGTGGTACAGCAGTCTGTGCAATGATCCACTGTGGTACAGCAGTCTGTGCAATGATCGACTGTGGTACAGCAGTCTGTGCAATGATCGACTGTGGTACAGCAGTCTGTGCAATGATCCACTGTGGTACAGCAGTCTGTGCAATGATCCACTGTGGTACAGCAGTCTGTGCAATGATCGACTGTGGTACAGCAGTCTGTGCAATGATCCACTGTGTTACAGCAGTCTGTGCAATGATCCACTGTGGTACAGCAGTCTGCAATGCTCCACTGTGGTACAGCAGTCTGTGCAATGCTCCACTATGTAACAGCAGTCTGTGCAATGCTCCACTGTGGTACAGCAGTCTGTGCAATGCTCCACTGTGGTACAGCAGTCTGTGCAATGCTCCACTATGTAACAGCAGTCTGTGCAATGCTCCACTATGTAACAGCAGTCTGTGCAATGCTCCACTGTGGTACAGCAGTCTGTGCAATGCTCCACTGTGTAACAGCAGTCTATGCAATGCTCCACTGTGGTACTGCAGTCTGTGCAATGCTCCACTATGTAACAGCAGTCTGTGCAATGCTCCACTATGTAACAGCAGTCTGTGCAATGCTCCACTGTGGTACTGCAGTCTGTGCAATGCTACATTATGTAACAGCAGTCTGTGCAATGCTCCACTATGTAACAGCAGTCTGTGCAATGCTCCACTATGTAACAGCAGTCTGTGCAATGCTCCACTATGTAACAGCAGTCTGTGCAATGCTCCACTATGTAACAGCAGTCTGTGCAATGCTCCACTATGTAACAGCAGTCTGTGCAATGCTCCACTGTGGCACTGCACTGACAATGTCTCGTGCTCCGTGTTTGTCGATGGGGCCCCAAAGGGGCACGTGCCCCGCGCACCGCGCTCCCGACATGCCTTGCGGCGTGACACGAGTCGCTCCGCCATTGAAGCCGCGCGTCCCGCTCAGGACTGAGTGCTCGGCTGTCCTTGTTACCGACTTGCGGCTCGCTCGCGCTCATGCACGCCTCGCCGCTCTCCTCGTAACACCCGCGGAAGGAGCTTCGAGCATTCATCGAGCCTCGCCGCCGTTGCAGCAACGCTCTTAACTTGGACCGTGGCGAGGGTGGGTGGGGGGAGTCGGGTCTTCTCGGGGCGCAAGCGACGCTGTATCCGGCGGATCCGCTAGACGAGCCCGAGGCTTGGGCCTTGCACGCATCGGAGTCTCCCTCCCCGAGCCTCCGCTGGCGGCGCTCACTGTGCAAAAGATTAGACAGACTCGACGGCGCTCAGATGTGCGACCAGTTCGCGGCGTAGCGACGCGGAGGTTGTCTGCGGAATAAGCGTACGCACGCACGGATGCATTGAAGCGTCAGCTGCGTATCGGTCGCGGTGAGAGTGAAGTAAGTTTTATTGGGGGCTCTGTTCTCTGGGGTAGCTGTGGGTGCTTGGGGCTGCAAGGGGAGTCCTTGGACGGGTCGTTTGGTAGGTGACTGAGCCGGGTGAGTCGGGCAGCTCGATCGGTGGTGCGGTGAGGGCGGGGAGTGAATTTGCTCGAGGGAGTTTGTGTGAGTTGTTGGTCGGGTGAGCCGGGGTTACGTTGCGTTGGCGGAGGAGGCTTACCGTAGCGGTCTGCGTTTGGAATTTGATGTTTTGAGGAACTTTGCTTGCTTGAGAAGGTCGGTTAAGTTTAGCAAGTACTTTATTTTGAACATTCTGTTAGTCGGTAGGTGAATTATGTTGAAGTTAGGTGTGATAGTTGGTCGGTGAGTTGCTTCCATGGTAGGTTAATTGGTATGCGGTTGTTGATTTTGGGTTCATTGGGTGAGTCCTTTTGAAGGTGGGGAAAGTTGGTATGTTGGTTCATTGGTAAGTTGGGTTCTTTTTGGGCTAGGGCTCGTATTTGGTGGGTTGCGTTGTTGAAAAGGTGGACTGGTTGGTGGGTTACTTGGCAGGTGTGGAAGTTAGTAGGTAACTTGTTTATAACGTGGAGTCAATTGGTTGGTGGGTAACTTCGAAGGATCGCCAAGTTGTTCTGGCGACTGTGTGGCTCCCGTGGGCGAAGCGGCCTTGGGGGTGGGGGTGAGCGTTGCCCGAAGCTTTGGTGCGCTCTGCGGGGCGGGCTGCATCGCACGAACGCATTGCTTAATGCGTGACATGGGCAGTAGCATGTGCAGCCGACGAAAAGGTTTCCTGCAGAGCGCCTTTCTGCTGCTCACCGTGGCCGCCTTCGTCTACGGGGCCATCATGTACAGCGAGCTGCACGGCAAGACGCGGCGCGCGGAGAGTTTGTCGATGAAGTATCAGCAGCAGCAGGAGTCCCTGGCGGCGCAGCTCCAAGGTAAGGTGTGCCATGCGCCACCGAATGGGTGGTGGTGGGTAGGTAGGAGCTTCATGATCGTGGTGAAGTTGTGGTTGTATAGGAGCGGTTCCAGGAAGATTTCTTTGTGCGTGGCTTAATTGTTTTTGTTTACAGTTTGTGGCTTTGCTCTCCAACACACCGGTGTGCTGTACTAGTAACGAATTGGCACGTTCTGTTTACGTGACAAACCTTACTAATTGGCTGTGTCGGGTGGTGGCGGGTTTAACGACATATTTACGCGATCTAACCCAAAAACAAAACTGTATTATGGTTGTGTTTACAATTAACAGTAGCGTTGACCGAAACTACAATGCCATTATAGTTGCAATTAATCACGAACGACACAATTGTAATTTACCCACAAGTTTTGGGTTAAGTGGGGAAAGTTTTTTTTCCCTGCGACCCAGATCGGAGGTTGCCTCAACTGGTATGTTGCCCAGGGCATCCATAACATATTTTGGCGGCCCCATGTTTATGGATTTGCACTCGTGTCCATGTGCATACGAGCGCTTAGACTCGGTAAAGATGTCAGTTCAGATCGGAGTCTGGGATAGACTGAGCACAGTGTCATAAAAATATATGAAATATCCCAGAGTCATGCAGTGGGTAAGTTGTTCGATAACATAGGTGACATGTATGTATAGTCGGTGTGCGTAAATTGGATTGTGGAAAAGTAGGTCAAATACCCTCCAGATGCGCTTTCTTGAGCACCCTGTAGCACCATGTAGTGGCATAAGAAAGTAATTTCAGGGCTGTGCATTGAGATTGATATATATGATGACAAAAGGTTAAGGTGTAGCCCTAAAGGTCAGGATATTGGACATCGCCGTGAGAATATTAAGTTTCCACCACAGACTGGTAATGTCGATTAGCTGTGGTTGCCCACCCGTACAATGCTTGTTTTGGGTGGTGGGTATGGTTTGAATTGACTTTTTTTTGTCTCGTACATTTTTCACCCATGGATTTGGCTGCGTGCAGTGTTTGCGGACATTCATCTGTTGGTTGCTGCTGTGGTAAACATTTAACACAAATGTCGACTTGTAAATCACAGTCACCGCTGGGAAGATGTTCCCCGTTACTGCTGATGCCTCACGGTCAAAGAAATCGGGTTCTCCCCAGCTTCCCATCAATATCTCTATTTCCATTGTGTTCAATAAGCTCTTTAGGTAGACAGCTCAGTGGGTGGTGGCTCGAAGACTTGCCCGATGTTACAGTAGATGCTTTGCTCTGCTGTTGGAGACCCAAACTGTCATTGATAAGTATTTTTTATTGGGTATTTTCGTGATTCCAGGCAATTTGTCTTTAAAATGTAAATAATAGCCTGAACACAATCCTCAAATAACTGCCACGTTAACGAACCGTATATATGATTTTAAATGTGCCATTTCGGGCAATGGCCCATCTTAGTAGCAGAGAGATATAATACGTTAGAAAGTCACAGCCGTTTATCAATACACTTGTGGGGAGTCGGGCAGAAGGCCACCTTATGCTGCTGTGTCGTCGGTCATGGAATGTTTTGACCAATCTTAACCATGCTGCCCAGTACGGGTTGACAAGGCATCACTGTGCAAACTGGTCTCCTCCCCCACATAGTTATGTCGCTATTGAATAAGCATTTAATGTTTGCTGTGGATCGTCAACACAAGCCACCTGGCGCAGTCGTCACCCAAGGGACGAAATTGTCTTGAAACACATGTCTACATTTGATACCATTGTGCTGAAAATGAGGGGCATTGTATGACACCAGTATTATAGTCTTGGGTAGATATATGTATGGGTAGCACTGAACATTGTTTTCTGCCTTTGTGTATGCATGGCATATGTGCGGGTTGTGTGCGCTATTATATACTTGTGCTTACGATATTCGTTGAAAGAATATGAATTCCTGCAGTCACGAAAGCTTTGTGTTTACGAGTGTTTTTTTTCCCCCCGGAAGTATTGTAGCTGTTTTTAGCTTGCGTTTACACCTTTGTAGCTTCAGTTCTCTGCGCAACAACAGGAATTTCCCGTACCACTAGTAATATTCTATTCACAGCAATATGCTATTCACAGCAATGCTTCATAAGTCTTGGCATTCCTATAGAAAATGTATTCCCACCCAGTGGTTTGTTGGTTGCAGGAAGGGCAGGCTATTAGTGCTGATTGGTTCATTTGTAACTCGGCTATTATGCTGACTGTACAGTGCTGCAATGTGTTTGTTGTTATATATTAGCCAAAATGCTGGAGCTAAACGCAAGTGTGGCATCCATGCAACACTGAGGGAGGAGTATTAGTATGTAAAAAAAATATTGTGCATCATTATAATGTATGATTTATACCGCACCTCCCAGGCAGTACATGTTAGTAGTAGAGAGATATAATACTTACCCAATTAATACTTACTAATACAAATCAATACTTACCAATATAGTACACTCGATACTTGATGGATATCTGCAAACACCAACCTGCTGCAGAAATCCATCGTCAGCAAATCCCACAATCCTTTAATCCGGATCTGACCTACCGAGCAAGATTTGGTCCTCCTTGAATTGGATCCGGATACTCCATGGAAGATGTTTGGGACACTTTCTCCGGAAATGGAAAATTAACGAGAGTCCATTCTGTGACTGTGGTGGTGTGACGTCTCAGACCCTGCAACACATCGTGAACGACTGCCCAATCAGATCATTCAACGGCGATCTGAAACAAATCCACGCGGCGACTCCTGAAGCAGTCGGATTGATATAAAATCTCGACATCAATTTGTAATCTGTTGCAATCCCCAAAAATTCCATACGAAAGAATAAGAACACTTGCCCGACACAGCTGCTGTATGTACTCTATAGTAGTGATACTAACTTACATCGCTTCGTTCATCCACTTCTGGATGGATGAAGACGTTCCCATGTCATTCATTTGTGTGTGTTTTTTTACCATACTCACGCTGTTAAATTCGAGTTGATTGATGGGGATAAAATCAAGACTGGTTCAGATATTGGCTGTGGCTGGGAATCGAACTCAGGTCGCCGTATTTATAGCAGTGTGCGGACCATTGCTCGACCCCACTATAATGTGTATACAATTTCAAATATGAATCGGTCAGTTATTTTACAAGGTCGTTTTAAATTCACAGTATAATCCCAAATATCAATAAAGTGGTACGTGTATCAACTATAGAGTTTTTGAACGGCATGATTCGGTGTCTCTCTCGCAATCTTTTCAGAGGCTGGGTAATATGGATCGAGAATTATTCTTGGATCTCACCTCTTGGTTGCTTTTAGCATCGTATCACCGTCAGGATTAATGACCTGGCGATTACCGAGTTTAAGTGTGCGTGTGTGAATACGTTTTGGCACATAAGCTGTGATTTGGAAATAGAAAATTGCTCACTCTTGTTATTTACTGACTCTTGTACCTTATTCATTCTTGTCAATTTGTAGACCACTAAGCCGTTAGTGTTTGTATATTAAAAAAAAAAGTGCATTCACCTTGCTGATCTTGATAAACTGCTGCAGAATTACCTTTCAATATCTTACAGCCAATAGTTGCATAGCTGTGGCTTCGGGTTAATGTGGCTATTTTAAAAGTTTGGTACTTTATAAGAGCATTTTATAGCCTTGGGCTCGACAGTCACCACATATCATCCCATTGTGTGGACATTGTTATGTGGCTTTCTCAACTCTGTGTTGAACGTTGCATGCTGATTTAATACTGCACATTGCACATGCGAGTGTGAATTGGTGCCCCCTACGCAGTGATGGGTGTAACCGAGTAGTGTTTACGTTGATGTTATACATTGGACAGTATCCAAATTCAAATATAAATGAAGGAAATGCATGGGCAGTGGTGTACACGTAGCGTCAATGCTGCGTTACAAGCAGTGGTGTAGTGTGGCAGGCATGGCTCACGCAGCAAGGAGTTAAATGGGACCGCCTGTCTAATTGCCCCTTCCTCGTCTTCATCGCCTTGTGTGTGGGGGCCCCCTCCGGCCACTCGGCCTGGTGCAGTTGCACTGCCTGCACACGATAGCAATGCCGCTGCTTGCAAGGGAACACGTCAAAGTGGGTTTACGTTTGGGTAGTGGCTCTTCGTGCAGAGCTTAGCTCAGAAGGTGGGAAGGTTTATTTTTTTTATGTCGGGTTTTCGCATTCTCATGGCCTGGTTTTTGGAATTCTATACAGAAGCAATTCCCTAAGGGCCACAGTTTTTGTTTTGTTCGTGAATATCCAATGCTGTCATGTAATTGACCCGTATTAACGTCCAGCTGTGTATTTTGGATCGTGGTCGGGACAGGTAAAGCGTATGGTATAATGACCTAACAACCACTTGTCAATTTAAGCAGTTGCTCTGGAGGAGATTCATCGTGAAAGCCTATCTTCCTGAAGGCAGCTCCTGAAACGTGAGCTCGGCTCTGCTGTGAACCCACCCAACTCCGATTGAAGCTGCCGAAGTGGTCGAACCGGACGGTAAAAGGAGGGAGAAAACCCTGCACTCCAAGGCCCATTTGCAGCTGAACTATCCTTCCTTTTTTGATGGGGGTGGGGGGGGCCCTCTCGTGTGGCCCAGCTGTGTGAGCGTATCTCCAGTGTTGTTGCGTACTCAGCTGTGGGGAGGGAGCGCTTGTGCGTGCACAGGTTTGCAGCCGCCGTCCCTGTCTGAGTTTGTGTGTGTGTAGTGTAAACAACAGCAGCTTCCGCAGAAATTGTCTCTCTCCACAGCCTCACAATGAGTGTGTGCATTTGGCGGTAGCTGTTGGCATCCCGTGGTCTTGTGTGCAACGTTTTCTCAGCCGCCACACAAACCTAATGCCAGTAAGTTAATGTATAACTTGTTTTTTTTTCTTAATTCATACTCTTTCGGTAAAGTCAAATAAACCTATCACGTAAATAGGTTCAAACAAATCTATCTACTTGACTTTATCGACAGACCCAAAGAATATGAATGCCTGCAGTCATGAAAGCTTTAAGTCAGGATTTATTCATGACATGTCCTACAGC